AATCATCGTCCTCGGAAATCTGGCACGATCATGTTGATCATTTATGAATTTTATATATCAGTTTTTCGTTTGAAGTACAATTTTCTATAGAATAATAGATTATATTATTTCTTATGTATGTACCAAAATATTTTATCATAGAATCGTATTTTTACAGTTGAACGCAAATCCTTATAGTTTCGCCATATGGTTTAGTTTTATCTCATAATATTACTAGTACCTAAATAACACATATGGCATAAAATATTAACAGCTATAGCTTATGAAATATTAAGTCTAAAATAAAAAATCATTATTTTGTCTTCTAACGTACAATTTTTGTATAGAGGAATAAAATATACTTTTTAAATCATAAATATATTCCAATACGATTTTGTAAACTTCGATGCCTAATATTTATTCTTACCAGTCTAATAAAATTTGATAGTCCATTGCCTAATTTATTAAGATATAGTAATTCTTTTTAGACCCAGTAAAAATAATGTTGTCCATTATATCAAAGACTGAAATACCAAACTAGACTGAATCTAACATATAACACTTTCGACTAACTTTTTAATTTTGTAATACCTAAACCTAACTGCAAAAACTAACATGCAATAACAATATATCAATTTGAAGGTTACTGTATATTACATTGATCTATTTACCAATTATTTCCTAATGCAATATTCGTAAGCAACTATTTCAAATAGTCGATGTTTCGCATCTGGTTATTATCATGAGTGTATGGCATAACAAGTAAAATAGTCGTCATTTACAACGACTGGCTATCAGCATGGTCTTAGCTAATGTGGAAGACACGAGGAAAAAAACGGCAATCCCACCTGGCTTGTGGCACGTGCCACATTCACCTGTTGTTAGCAGCAGTTTTAAATAAATAGGGTCTTCAGCGCAGCAGCCGAGCTGTAGAAACATGCTATTATTTTTTATCCATACTTATGTATATGACAGCGATTCTCAAAGTACGCGTTGCGGTGAACGAAATGGTGGATTGAGAGTCATTTCTTAAAACTGCATTACATACGTCGAAACTACATTATATGCACTATAAACATATGAAGAGTATATGTTGAATTTTAATATTTACAACAACTGTTGTTGTAAATATTATTACTTCTAAATATTTGTTTATAAATAAAATAATAGGTACCAAATTAATTTAAGAAATAACGAATATTGGACATTTAATTTCATGCTGAATTAGCTAGAAAGAAGTAGATACATATATGCAATGTTTTTATATATATACAACACGGGTGACGCCGCAGAAACAACTAGTCTTAGATTAAGGAATAAATACTAATTAAAAATGATTCTTTTTTTAAATAACTATCTAATCTATAAAACAATTTCTTTATTATATTTCATGTTAATTAATACACTATATTGATTAATGTGCTGTAAGAGTGCTATGCGTGCTTCGAATTGAAAAAGTTTGGGAACCTCTTTGATAATAGTGAAATTATAGCTGTATTATTTCGCTATCATCAAAGAGGTACCATGTAGAGTCGGCAAACTATTTAATAATAAGTAATAACATATTGTGTTGTATTTTAGGTTTAACGTTGTATGTATATCTTATGTCTTCATATACAAAAACCGTAGCTATTAGTACTAATAAGAAATACACATAACTAAAATTATAGGTAGTGTTGATGAAAAATTATATTGTATTATAATGAAGTAATATATATATATACCAGTAATATACAACATCCAATGGCAACAGTAGAGTATATTGTCGTTAATTACGAGTAGGAATCGGGTTCGAACTCATATAAACCAATTACAAACAACATTCCTCTGTAAATTAACTCTTAGTTTTTGGACTCGCAATAGGATTTGAACTCTCTGTTTTCTTTATCTCTGTCTCCACAGATTATTTAGAGAAACAAACAATTGATAAGCCCTTGATACTGCCATATATCTATCTTATTTTATGTATGCTATACATGTATATTGAATATACTATATTTGTGTATCTTACCATAATTAGATGGACCAACATTCAAACTTCCATAGTATAAATGTATATCCGAAAATTTACTTACCTTATTAACAAGTAATAAATTGAAGAAAATGTTAAAGAAATTTTAAAAAAGCATAATTGTAGCTTTTTAAAAATAAGTCAACAAACGTTGAATATTAGTCAGTTATAATAAAAAGCTTCTTCACAAACTGATAAGCTCTATGATATAATCACAATTCTATGGCTTTTGAATAAAATAAAACAATCCAATTACTTATCGGTGCCAATACTATGTAGGTGTCTTTTGACTAATTTAGAGGTCGTAAAGTTTACGACATCGTGAATACGATATACGAATTATCGACAGACGGGCATTTTGCATATAGTAGCAGAATCATGGTTTGGGCATGGCATGTACCTACATAATATTATCTTATCTGTGGTTTAGGCAATTTTTGCGTTAGGCTCCAAATTTATTTTACGGTTTTTTCTGTCAGTAGATGAAACGTCTATGTTGGCCTTATTCGTGAATGTAAGACTTCCTAAAGTTAAATATTCCTCTTTTGTTGCAGACTCTTTAAAAATCTCTACTTACATCATGATTAATAATTATATATAAATTCTACAGTTGTTGAAATATAACAAGTTATTTTGCCTATTTAGACTGTTTTGAAATCTCTACTTACGACCACTGATTAATAATTATACCACTGATATATAAGTTCTACGGATGTTGAAATATATATTTTTTATGCCTATTTAGCTTTTATTATTAAAACGTATTCATTTATAATTTATGCTATAGTTATTATTTACAATTGCACATACTGTTACCATTTCTACTAATTCTGTAACACATTATAAGCGTCAACACATTTTTTTCTTAATTATAAAAATAATGCATCGACCCTACGTTGACATGTAAGCATTTCTCATTAACAGAATCGGGGCATTGAACATTGAGAAACGAACATCTCATCCATAACTTTTTATAATGTTTTTTTTTTCTCATTTCATAGTACCGCTTCAAGTCTGCTATTATTATGTTTTAAAGCGTTAATTAGTTATAATTGCTCACATTAATTAGGATTTTAATAACGTAGCATAGAATGGCTATGTAGCTAAGTAAGTAGATGCCTAGTTTTTTAATAGTTGTCCATCAATTTAAATACGAATGATATCACTATTACTTAAGCCTCTGGCTCATATAGGCTTTTTGTATGTATCGACATTTAGGAATATATTTTCATATTTTTATACACGATTAGTGGCAAAGGGTATATCAACCCGAAAGGTACCTAGAATACTCACGGAACTGATCCACTTTCAATAAAAAACAAAGTGGAAATCTAAAAGAAGAATGAACTTTTCATCATTAAATTGATCACGTGGCGGTTCAGTTTGTATGAAGGTTGCAAATATATATAATAATAAAAATATATAATTTACTTCTTTAGGAGGATGTTCAGTTTCATGAGTGTGTATATAAAATATACTTATCGTCATAAAGTAAATAATGTTTTATTATTAATAAAACCACGTGTCGTTTTTTTTACATAGAATAGATAAAATGCAACATGTTTGCTTTTATCGAAAACTGTTTATAGAAACTGATTTAACATCCCTGCTATTAAATCTTGCAGAAAATAATACAGAACTATATTTTGTAGCGTAGTGATTCATGGGCAGAATTTCAGAACGGCATAGATATAATATACCTACTGCTACTTCTAAGTTAAATAAGGAAGTTATTACACTACTAACTAATACTACTAATACTCTAAATCTAAATAATAATGAAAGTTATTCCTATTATACACAATATCTTAAAATTTTATAATGTTGTTAGTTAATACATATTTAAGTAATTCATAATGTTACTATTATAAGTTTATGATAATATACCTAAAATTTATATTTTATTTCATAAATTGCCTATAAAACAGAATAAAAGTATAAAAAGCATCTACGGTAGACTCACCATAACTAGCTCCCAACAGATTTTTTTTTTCTTTTCCTATTTAATAAAAACGGTCCACACAACACCTCTTTGTTTTTTTGTTCACACCTATTGTATCCTTAGTTTATACTGAAATCCACAACACAGTTTAAAATCACAAATTTAAGTCACTCAAAATAACGTCATAATATTAATTAAAATACAGTAATGTAATTATTTTTTATTAACACAATCCAATCAAAGTAAAAGTGTTTATTAAGTAATGTAACAATCACGAAACAAATGTGCTAAAATAATAATAACGAAAATAGAGCAGAATGAATTAAGTTCCCATTAACTTCAATATTTTAAGAAAAAAAAATCCCGCCTAAACTTTTTTTTAGCGCTACAGAATAAAAACAGCTATAGAGCGGCGCGCGTCTAACCGCGAGGAAAGCCGGTTGAGCGCTGGTCGCCGTTGATTGTTTTGTTTTGAACCCCGTGCGACGCACGCTGTAGTCCTGCAGCCGTGGTTAAAGCAAGCCTCCTCGGATTAGACGCGCCACGCCATAAAAAACGGCTTTCAGGTAGAAATATGGATCGTTTATCATTGAAAATTATACAAATTTATAGTAGTAAAAATATATAAGTAGAGTTCTCATTTCTTTAAAACATTATATACGCACATAGGTTCTATCTACGTATACAAATATATCGTAGAACAGATCTATGTTATCTAAATCTAGTTAGAGTTGTTAACAAATAACAATATTGACTTCTATGGCTTTATAATTAGGTACTCAGCTGGTTAATTAATCGAATACCATTTCTTTGTGCTAGTTCAACGTACCTATTAGTATAATCCAAAAAAAGTATCGCTACATATGTACCCAATAATGATGTATAAAATGTACATATAAGTAGGTGTAATATGTGAATCTTAATAAAACGATTTTATTTCAGACATTTAAGATGTAATTAAAAAATAATAACAAAAATAATAATATTTCTACCAAAATATATAAACAAATAAATAGGAATTAATAACAGATACATTCTACTACCACAGATAACATAATATTACATACTACTACTAAGAAATACTGTATTATTTAACTACGAAGTATATTATTCATTCTGTACTTGCTTCTCAAGTGTTGCTATATCCGCTTCGCTGATTTCTTCATCAAACTCCTCAGTTGCGCTTTTTGTCTCAATATCCTTGTTTAAAATATCTCTTTTCTTTAAAAATGTTTGATGTAATCCCTTGTAGAGTTTTTTTGCTTTAGTTGCACCTATTCCTGGACATTCGGCAAGTCTTTGTTCTGATACCTGTATGAGGTTCTCTAACGTGCCAAATGTTGTTATCAATGTCATTGCGTCTGTTTTATTTACTGGCTTGATTGATGAGAGAGCGTTAATTATCTGAAAACCCAAACGTCTATTAAAAATGCATCCTCTTTTTTATACAATACAGTGGACAAACGAGCTTGCGGCTCACCCGATGGTACCTAAGTGATTACCGCCGCCCATGAGCAACCGCAACACCAGGGGAAATGCAAGTGCCGGCCTTTTAAGAGAAATAAGCTCTTTTCTTGAAAATTTAAATATCATATCGGGAATACGATTGCTGAATGGTGATTCCACAATGTGGTTGTGCGTGGCAAAAAGTGGATTTAGATTAAACGAACAAAAAGTAGATACAATACAACAGAACGTGAGTTAGAACATACGACGAGTTAAGTGCATTTTGCCAAAATATGCAGCGCTAAAACAAAGTACTTACAAACATTTTATTGAACTTAGAAACCTCTAATACTTTATGGGTCTATAAAGAACTTACAATGAAGATATGTTGATCGAATTAATTGTATAGGTAATCACATATAAGTTAATTATACAAGCAGGTGTATAAAAATGCAATTAAATTACCAGTTATATACTTCTTTATACAATTCTATTTGTTATAAAAAGACATGATATCGCATCTTAAGCTTAAGAGCTTAAGATGCGATATCATGTCTTTTAAGCATAACATACATAGAAAACACGATATAAGCAATCATATTAATGAATACAAATGTTTGCACCATGCGAGGAATCCAACCCGCGACCATCAGAAATAAAGTAGTGTGCTAAACTGCTAGACCACCGTGGCCGTCGAGGTATATTTTAACTAATTTGTTTTTTATGTAAATGGAATGCAAACAAAACTTACCACCCACCTGATAGTACGTAGTAACCGTCGCATAAACCGGGTACTTCATAAACTCTTATGACCGCCCATGGCGCACGTTACCATTTACATAAAAAGTTCCTGAATCGATCCTAGATCGAGTCACTTTAGGAAACTTGTTTGGTTCTAGTCTGGATCTGTTGTTTTGATTTCAGATGAAAGAAACTTATAACGGTTTCTTATAACACAGGGTATTCTATTATAGATTGAGGTAATAGTGTAAATACATATTTACCTGTCGGTGTACGTTCGAACGATTGCACGCATAATGAAACGCAAACACAGTCACACGGGTCTCTATCACACTGTACACATGCAAAGTGGGTGTTGGACTCTTTGGAAACTCTTTGGAACAACTGACCTTTTGGTGGGGGTCATTCTCAATTTTTTCCATAATCCTATCTGGTGGCTTGTTTTCATATATTTTGTAATTTTCTATAATCTTTGCAGCTTCCTCTGGACTCCACGCCAACATTAAGGTCATGTCTGTTAGAAGGCATATCCTTGTTAAATTCTTCAATGGAACGTGTGGATCTTTCAAATCTACCTGTATAACCAAAGAAGAATAACTTTACTAGAGGGAGACTTTGTACAAAGTTGGCTGCAAGGACATGTAGTCTGTAGGTATGCAGAGAAAGATCTGTATCGTTTATTCTGAAACCAGTTTCATTATGAGATCGGTTTGAGGAAATAACAAACCGAATCACTACATCAATGAATTAACTGGGTATGGTATTAAGAAAGGTCTTATGCATTAGCAATCTGGTATACGTTTGTTACAGGAAATTTTGTGATATCCATGGTGCTGTTCAAGTACGTAAGCAAAAGGATGCACTTTGCCCCAAGTACGTCATAATAAGCTAATGAGTATGTTTGACATTTTATGATACATTAATTTTACACATAAAATATAAAACGACCATTGCTGTTGTGCGTAAGCTACGCATTAGAAATAATCTTGGGCGGGCATTGTCACTATCATGTTTATTATTTTTTGTAGTGTAATTACCGTTAGCTGTGAGACAAGAGTCAGTTTAATAATAACGATTTAGTAAACAAAATAAAAAATTACTCTATCAAGATAAGTACTCTACTACCTATAAGGCTAGAAGTGTCGCTATTATAATACATGAAAAAAAACTTTGTGGACAACATATCCGTTCCTTGACGTTATAGTATATGTGCATAGTTCTCATACTCTTTTATGACCATAATTCTAATAATTTTACACGAATAACACCTATCACATAAAACATTGAAATGAAATCGGGTACAGGCAAGCTTATTGTACGCGCTGATTTACTTTAACATGTGAGTTCGTCTAAATAGTTCATGATACGACAAATTCGTGTTAGAGATGAGACATATTTCGAGATATCGAGGACATTTGCCGAACCTGAACAACGTAGTCGTAGAACATAGCTCATACAGCATTTATTTCAAATCATAGCTATTCGTATCTTACCTGTACAAGCAGCACACGGAGTTCGTACTTTTTGCCCAATTCCTTCAATCTATTATTAATATAATCTGGATTTAAGTTGTGATATCTTACTGATAGAAATAATAGGCATATTGTTTTACCAACTTCGTAATCTGGTATGATGTCATCATATTCCCAAGGGACACTTGTGATAAATTTTAAAAGTGGATTTCCCCGCTGAAAGGCGTATTTATGTCATTACTATATTCATTTGTTAATTCAACTCTTATAACTATTTTCACACTTAACACAATAACAAAAACTTTATACCCATTTTTACGAATATTGTACGGGCGGAGGAGTATGAAATTTCACACACTTACTAGTTTAAACAGAGAAGTGCAGTATGCTAATATTAACTAAAAATACATTAATTGAATATAAAAAAACATTATTTGACACACGTGCCCATAGAACGCTTCAAAATTATAATTTAAATTCGAATTTCGACCATTGGGCGACCATTTAGTTTTTATAATTCCTTAAAGTTATAAATAAAATCTCAGTGAATTTATTCTGAGAACAAGAAAGAGATCTATTTGCTCCGGCTGTATGATTCAATGTACCTACGTAGTGCCTTTAAGAGCGGCGCTTTGCCTAGTAAGTGGGTGGCCCCGTGCGGCACAGGCAGCAGTTGCGGTCGACGACGACACCACACCGGGATGTAGAATTCCATACAACTTAACATTATTTATATATTAGTTTTTTTTATGAATGAATGAGGAGTGATGCATACTCCTTTGTAACGGTATATACGTGACCACCAGTGAAACATAATTAGTATGCGGATAAATACCGGTCATATAGTCCATCGTGATGAATTCACCAAGAACTAACCACAATGGTTTAATAATTCATCATGTCTTGTAAATATAGACATGATGAATTATTATAGTATTATAGTATTGTAAAGCAGAGAAGTTCAATGAATATGTGTATAAACTTAAATTATGAACTTTTGGATATTCATGTTTTTTATTCTAATTACCACTCATTATGAAAGCTGTCTCATTACAAGACGAACAAGCAGGGAACTTGCAAGTTGCTCTTTTACTAACTTTATAGTGGGAAATTGCATTTTTACAAAATAATATCATTCCATAATTTATTTCATGCCTACCAGTAGTAAACATTTACTAATCATCATGTTTGTCAAACATTATAAAAATATTTCTGTTGTCAACAGTATAGAAAAAATATTAAATAGTAATATTTTGTTCCAAATATTCATATTAATTCTTTTTGTTTGTAGGTACCACTTAGAGAATGTGTATTCTTTATAAGTGACAACCTTTACTGGAAGTCATTAAATTACAGGTGATAAATTAATATTTTTTATTTACAACACTTACCTGTTTTTGATTCACCAAAACACAATGTGTTTTAGATACAGCTGGTTTAGAAATTTCCTTGGAAGGTCCTAGAATAAAATTAATTAATTAACTTTATTATAATAGTATGTACTACTTAATGAGATCAATTAAAATTAAAAAGTTTAAGCACTGAACTGCAGATTTAAATGGGATAGCCCTTCTTAATTCTGCACATCATGTTCCATTATGCAAAGATAAGAAAGAAGGACACTTGACAAGGTGTCAAAGAATCTGTGGGGCAGTTAGTAGTAGTTAGTTCCCCAACTACACAACTGTCCCACAGGACCCACAGAAAGTGATCCCATTGCTAGCAATGTACCATGTCAGGTAGACCTCCAAGTGACTTCATGCTCATCCTATCATCCTCCATTGGTAACCAGTAAATGTAAACCGGTAGTGCAAGTGCAATTTTCCATTATTAACCATTAAAAATGTTAAAGGTATTGTTATTAACAGGGACTTAATAATACATTCAATACATAAAAGAAGCACTAATAGGATGTAACACTTTCTTCATTTTTATTTATTATAGATTTATTATATTCTATTACAAATAATTTTGTTTGAGTACCAGGTAATTCTGTTGTTGTCAGGGTGTTTGCAGCAACATCATTTTGTTTAATTTGTTTCGGAGGTGTTGGTTCGTCGATATTGGCTAGTAAGTCATCCAATCCGTCTTCTAAATCCATCTTGACGATTAGAATTATTATATATAAAACAATACTATCGCCTGCTACCTTAATACTAATACCATAAATACTTAATTTCAATAATACAAAATAGTAGCTGTAATTGAAATGTTAAAATATATTAATGTATGTGCATCTAAAATTCGGTTTAATGTATATAACTATTCGTTTGTATTTTGCTTGACAGTTTTAAACATCAGAACAACATAAAGATGGTGCCCGTAATTAATATTGTAATTGTTTTGTTTTGGACTTTCGCTAGAGATCGCATTTTATGCCATGTGTTACTTGACAATGACAGTTCATACTTCGTGCAAATGACATTGATAGTTAAAAGTAGCACTCTGTTCTTTGCCTTTCCATTACGGATAAATAAAACAAAAAAAAAAAGTAGCAGTCTGAACTTTTTATTTGATACGTTCTTAAATCATAAAAATATGTATAGTATTTACATCATTTAAATAATACTATTAACAATATTTTTAATTTTTTATACTTATCTACAATTGAGTTGAATACGATTGCAAATTGTAAGCAATGCATATATATCTTAACAAGATTTATACGATATTATTTATAATTGTTTTTACTAAATAGGAAACAATAAAAAGTTACTTTAGTTTTCGAGCGTCCAACAAATATATTGATAACCTAAAACTTTTAGTAGTGTTTTGTTATCATCTATAATTTGATTCCCTCGATAAGAAATATGAAAATAATTGCCTAACTACATAATACGCGCAGTAATTATTATCTAGCAATGTAGCATGGACAAATAAACTTCAAAATATAGCTACTGCTTTTGGAGGAATTGCCAGGTTAATTAAACTTTTGCATAAAATGTAAATATACTATGAATAATTTAGCTGATTCAAGTAAATCCACATATAATTTTGACGATGAAGATGAGCTGTTTAATGATTCCTCATTTCGGGCAAATTTTGATAATTCATCCTTTAGAGAAAATCCAACAACTTTTGATAATCGCGCGAAAAGTCCTCATAATACAAGCGAACTAAACGTTAGGTAAGTATTTACATACATTTTTTAACTGAACAATACTCCCTGTGATTTTTTTAGTGTATGATAATGGAATGACACACCTGCCTGCGCTAATGGTTGACGCTGGCGGGGCACGAGTGGAGGATGGTAGGATGAACATGAAGTCAGGTCAGTTAGCCCATCGTGATAAATTCACCTAGAATTTATCAAAATAGTTTCCAGGGGGAACCGGCTGGATGTCAACCTGACATTGCTAGCAATGGGATCATCCGTCCACATTACTAACAAACCCCTTCTACAGGGAGCAGAGGCCCTGTGATTATAATTGTGTTTTTTATAAGCATACTAATTATTATATATTTTATTTGTTATTATCATTAGATGAATATTAGAGTTGATGTTTAAGACTTCAAACACTTTGAATTGAGTTAATTTAGTAAATTAAAAGTGCTTCAAAGATTTTTCATATCTATTTATACATATATATACAACTAAAATAGAACTCTCATTACATTATTCATAAATTGAATAATATATGAATAATATATTTCCTTCCTTTTTCAGAATTCCGAAAGAATATAATACCATTTACAATGACCAATTTGCCATTAATTAATCATTGAATTAATTGTTTATATTTTTTTATTGCTACATTGTTGTTTTAATTCGCTAACTTTTTTATTTTTAGTGCACTTTGTTGCGATGAGGAACTTAATGGATATGACAAGCTCACAGGCAAGACATGGATATACCCCACCAATTATCCTGTTAGAAATTACCAGTTCAATATTATTAAAGCTGCCATTTTACAAAATACTCTTGTAAGTTGTCTAATGTTTTTATTATTTGAAAGTATTATTTACTTTTCATATAATTTCATATCACATTATCAATTTTAACTGTTAACATTTCATATATCTTTATCACTGGTTTCCATAACTGACAAATACACCAGGTATTCAGTTAGTTCTTATATTATAGAATTTATAATTTTAGTTATTATTATGTTCATGATATACTCATATGTGAATAATGATTCACATACAAAAATTCCAAACAAAAGCTGTATTGCCAATGTGTTAAGTTTCCTATAAGTATTATGAATGGACGTTTTGTGCCACTGCTAACTTCACATCCAGTATTCAAAGTCCTATTAATTAGAGGACACCTAAGAAGTTCTTGAATTTTGGGTTATCATTTTTTAGTGTCTGAATATTTTTTAGTAGTCACATATTGAATTATTTCATTTTGAGGGATTAATTATGAAAAAATGCTTTATATAAATTTAATAATACATTAATATTCTGGATCCTTACATGAATGAACAAACTCCTCCTAGTTTTGAAAGATATACAATGCCTAACATTGGATATCTGTCAAAACTAGAAGGAAAACATAAAATATAGATAAATTGCAAGGTAGTCCTAATATTCTATTTCAAATTACAGGTGAGTCTACCAACAGGGTTGGGAAAGACATTCATAGCAGCTGTAATTATGTACAACTTCTACAGGTGGTATCCACTTGGGAAGATCATATTCACAGCTCCGACCAGACCTCTTGTTGCTCAACAGATAGATGCATGCTATAACATCATTGCTATTCCTCCTAATGATACTATAGAGATGACAGGTAAATTGTATCAGATTGTTCTTACTTTTAACATATGTGAAAGCATAAATAACTTTAATTATTTTTGTTTATTTATAAATATTATGATAATTAAAATTATGTTATGCAAGTATTACAAATTTTCGTTTTATTGTCTTAATATCTGTCACGAATTTTATTGTAATAAGATTATTTTTACCTATTTCTTATCAGGACATATGCAAGTAAATACAAGAAAAATACACTGGCAAAATAAAAGGGTGTTTTTTGCTACACCACAAGTTATTTACAATGATATCAAGTCTGGAATATGCCCTGGGGATAAAATTCGATGCCTTGTCATTGATGAAGCGCACAAAGCAAGGGGGAATTATGCTTATTGCCAGATAGTGTCCACACTCACTGATATGGGACACAGGACATACAGAATGCTGGCTTTGTCCGCCACGCCAGGTAGCAGAGTGGATGATGTAGTTAATGTGAGTACTTTATGTATATTAGTTTTTTATAAATCCTAATCATAATAAAATATATATGTGTTTAATAATACCTATTAAAAATAATGCACTATCTATATTTCTGTTCATTTTCGTCCATTTTAATTGATTGTAATGATTAAAAATCTGTAATATTGTCTCAAATATAAATTTGAGCCAATACATTCTCTACATTAGCATGGCATTCTTTACCAACTGACAATGGGAAGGAAAGGGACAACAGGACAATTTCTATCAGTTATTTTTATTATTTTATATCATTGTATGCTAGGATACGACGAATAGGATAGGACTATCTAGGCTAGGATGCTTTTACTATGAAAATTTTATTAAAAATAAAACATTCCAATCTTATATAGGTGGTGAAGAATCTCCACATAGCGCACCTGGAGTTAAGATCTGAGAACTGTATAGATGTGGCCCCGTATAGCCACTCCCGCAAAATAAACACTGTTGTTATCAATCTTGGACCACAATTATCTCACCTACGTCAACAATATATTGAGGTATAGTAACATACAATTTGTATTTTTTTACACTTCCTATGCTATTATAATTAGTAATGGAAACCTGTAACATTCCTAGCAATTTACTTAATCTGGTTGACTTTTTTCCACTAGTTTATGACTATTTTCCAGTATATTCAACATGATATAGTAATATATTTTATGACTTGTATTTATCCTATCCATTAAAAATGAATCTTGCAGGCCTGATCTTCTGGTTAAAATTCAGGCTTAAATCTTATTTTAGAAAGCTGTAGCCAATTAAAGAAATATATATTGACCTCAGTTATCCACAGTGATAATAATTTTAAGATTATGTGTGATAATAATAGAGAATAAAGAATCACAACTGTGTGTTTTGTAACTGAACCACCTTCCTTTTCTACTAAGGAGCAAATAATAAAATGTGAAATTGCCAATATTAAAATAATGAATTACGTCCAAACTGGACTTATAACATTTCAAAAACTCAAGTTTTTCAGATATTATACACTCTCCAACAATTTGTGTATACAATATATATACACAAATTATTGCGGATCGGCAACCAAGGTATTATTAATAAGTAAGCAATACAATTGGAGTTGTAACTCTGTGATAATAGCTGTTTTAATTTACAGATTATAGATGGATATGCTCGTAGATTGAAGCAACTCAATATACTCTCTCAAAATTTTGGCAACATGTCTAAAGGTAGAGTAGTTATGCTGTATAAAGAATATCAAAGCAAGGAACGAGGCCAAAGGTAGGTTATCAGGATTGTGTTTTGTTATTACGTAGTTAGAGCTTTTGTTTCAATTTATATTTAATATTTATTAATTTAAGAATTAATTGAACTTAACTTTGTAAAAAAACACTGTGTATAGGTGAGACTAAGGTACCCATTTCAGCTGCTATGGCGCTTGCTTTCTTTCTTCTATTTCGTTAAGGAGAGAGATCAGGCATTAAAGCTACAGGATTAGTACATGGCACCACATGAGTCATGTATGTGGTAACAATAATTCTTACTATTACTTGCCCTCAGTTACGCCGTCAGCTTGTTAGCCATTCCTTAAAAAAGTACTTTGTTATTATTTTCTGTCAATATTTTTAACTACAGTCAAAAATAATTACTAATAACTACATTATTAAGAATGGTGTTTAATAAGGTACAAAGATTCTATACCACTATTATTAATAATGTAAACAAAAATATTTTTGACAACAGTGTACTCTTTTATATTTTTTTTTCTTATTTTAATGGCAAACATAGGGCGCACCTGATGGCAAGTAAAAGTAAAAGTAATCGTCACCTACATATGAGTACTTAATTCGAATTACATGGATGGCGCAGCACCATACGTAGTTGTAATTACCTGTAGATACTGCTTTCTATCAGTATTGGATCCGTTTGCCACTGCCAAGAATAATTATAATAATATTTTAGGCATCCGCAACACAACAACATCATGAAAGACTTCACACTACTAATCACTCTGTACCACGGTCTGGAGTTACTCATCAAACACGGTTCTAGAGTGTTCTTAAACTTTTTCGATGAACACCCAGAGAAGTCGTGGATGCAGAACGACGATCGCCTCACGATGCTACTCGAGAGACTACGGGACGATCTTGGGGTCAATCCATTGTCATTAGACAGAAGTATATTACCTGATGGGACAATACCTGAGGTAAAATATATGTTACGTCTCACTAATATGTTATTATCAAATAACTGTATTTATTTAAAATTAAGACAGTAAGAAGACATTTATAACAAATACACAAACGCGAAAAACCTTTAAATTACGAATTTATATACTTTTTGGCTATAGGATTTTAAAATTTTAGTGACAAATTAGTATGTTAATGTTCTCATGTGTATCAGTTTTTAATACTCATTTACATATATATCATGTCGAGTTTACTAATTTTACAGTAAACACCTTTTGATGATCACATATTTCGATTTCAGTTACCAAAGAACTTATGCTTCGGACATCCCAAATTTGACAAGTTGAAAGAAATAATGATAGAACACTTCACTAAAGCCAAACAAAATGGACATGATACTAGGGCTATAGGTATGGTTGATGTCTTATATTACTATTACTACTACTTTGCACACTATCTTGCTCCATTGCTAGTAATGTACCCATTTCATTGATTTCAGCCGATTCCCCAACCGCCACTCATAAAAATGAACAAAGTAAATACTTTTTTGGTAGTGGGGGGATTGTTAGCTATGGAAATTAGTGATTCCATTGTTAGCTATGTCAGGTCAGCCTTCGCATGGAAACCATCGGGATCAATAAAAAACAAAATTGTCACGTTGGGCTAACTGACCTGACCTCATACTCATATTATTATCCTCCGTCACATACAGGCATTATTCCATTATCATCCTGTACCAAAAAACACCTCTTTTAATACTACATATTTATAATCAGAGGGCGAGATTTCCCACAGGGCTTTTATTGTTTATTAGGTATAAGTAAATAACACCCCTTTTTAATGTTATTTATTTATAATCAGAGATTATGTATGACTACATAGTTTCGATTTTACCGTTTTAATAATAATTATGTTTATTGTTCCAGTTTTCTGTGAATATCGAGAAAGTGTGAATTTAGTACACTGTTTATTACTGCAGTGTCGGCCGCTCATTGTGCCTCAGATGTTCGTGGGACAAGGTTCATCTGGTTAGTATGGCAGTTGTATACACTGTTTTTTATGTGAATGGTAAGGGTATCCATCGCTGAACTTTATCATATGATGCCCGTAATATTGTAGTGTAGTATCCACATACCTAAAACTACAAAACAAATCTTCATTGTCTTAATTGACAGCATCGGTAAATATAATTAGTTGTGCTCTTCTATTTTTCCGTAATAGCGGCGTCGGGGTCATCAATTTAGGGTTTACCCGGGTGTACATGTATCATACATATAAACCTTCCTCTTGAATCACTCTATCTATTAAAAACCGCTTCAAAATCCGTTGCGTAGTTTTAAAGATTTAAGCATACATAGGGACGGACAGACGGATGTAAGATTTGCCTTGTGAACAGGTAAGGAAGTCGCAAACAATGCGGGCGTAGGCGGCGGCGTGTCGCAGCGACAACAGTTGCGCGTGATGCGAGCGTTCGTGGCGGGCGCCTGCAACGCGCTCGTGGCCACCTGCGTCGCAGAGGAGGGACTCGACGTCGGCTCCGTAGACCTCATCCTCTGCTTCGACATATCCTCGCGGTCACCCGTCCGGCTCGTGCAGCGGTATGTTATTTTTAATACTACGGTGGTGGCAAAAATATTACGGCCCATTTAACATCGTAACGGTTACCGTAAACTATGAACCCCTGAAACGATTGAGGTGTGAGGTACCCAGGCCCATCTCCTAAGAGTCATAACGAATGCGTTATTTCCATTCGAATAACCCGACTACTTACCGACTGTATATCAACGAACGAATAAAAACATTTTATACAAATCATGTTTATATATAATAAACATGATTTGTTTAAAATGTTTGTATTGTCTATGTTTAAATTAGGTGCGGACGAACAGGAAGAGAGCGCGGTGGACAAGTGTATATTCTAGTCACTGAGGGAAGAGAACATCAGGTGAGAATTAAATACAGATAATATTAATAATAGTCTAGATGAAAAACATTGCGTTTTATTAGTGCGCTTGCATCTACTAATACGTTAACAAACGAACATTTTTATGGAACATAAATAGTCATTTAATTATTATGAATGATTAATATTTTCGCGATAATTTCTATCAGCATTACAATGTTCGGGATGATTTTTATCGAAATTAGAGAGAATCCGTAAATTACGTCACATATTGAGGGGGAGGGAGGGGCTGGCAAAGTGTGACAATCAGTAACAAGGGGTGGGGTGTCCTAAGTTTCTTGTCGTTACATTTCAAAATCTAAGTGTTAAAAGACTTTTGAACTGTTATCGAAAAATACTTTAAAATATTTCCATATCATCTGCTTTTATACAGTTTTAATATTGAATCGCAAAACGTGACCTCACTGTGGGTAGATTGGTAATTTTTTTATACTACGTAGTTGGCAAACAAGCATACGACCCATTTGATTAATGGGTTAGTTAATTGGGATAATTAAATGGTTACCTGGAGCCTTTGGACGCCTGAAACACCAGGGGTGTCACGTCCCGTTGCCGGCCGTTAATAACCATATATCTTCCTTGGAAAACCTCATGCTGTAGAGAATTAGTTGTAATGAGATTAGAAATAAAGCAAATAGCTCAGCATAGTTGTTTTATTGATCTCTCCTATATACGAACATACATAACATGGCGCAGTCGGTCAAAAACAATATTAAGTTTGTTACTCTGGGGTCTTATTGTTATGAGCTGACAACGACGGGAAGAGTGGTCAAAAAATCATTACATTTGTGTGACATATTTATGGATGGCTCTTTATCATTCTAACCTCAATCTGCATTATATGATTTGGTGTGTAATGAATGTATAACTTTAGACATTGATAGATTGCATGCGACAAAGAGACGGGCTCAACACGAAGATATTACAGTCTAAAGAAGTGGAGAACAGCTTATACAAGAACAACCCCCGAATGATCCCGAGAGACTTCACGCCGCAGTGCCAAAAGATGTTCATCACAGTCGCAAAAAAGAACGACCCGAAAGATAAAAACAAAGATGCGATCGAGAAATCAAAAAAGGTCAGTCATATTATCTTTTCAGTGGTGTATTAATAAATTGATTAGTCAAATAGCGCTGTGGCTGAGTGGTTACTGTCCCGATTTATGCTGACAAGTCAAAAGTTCAAATTTCGCAAAAACCAAAAAAGGAAACATTCAATTTATATTTCTGACTCTACGATATTGGAAATGCGGATGACAAACTGATTGTATCCCAGAAATGGTAAAAGGCTTATTGTCGATACGTTGGAATCTAATTTACGTTGGGATATATGGGGATTTTAATTGCTGGCTTTCACACTACGCCAGCATTAGACAATGCTTCTGATCGGAGGGAAAGGGATTGTTAGTCATGTGGTGTGTTGACCTCATTATCAAGCAATGTACCGTGCATACCACGCAGTTCCCCTTGGAAAGCATCATAATAAATGTTATATTGGGCTAACTGATCGGAATTCATGTTCATGCTATTATCCTCCATTAGTGCCCCGCCAGCGTGTACCGTTAGATCAGGCGGGTGCATCATTCAACCATAGCGCTTAAAAATAAATGCTTCTGATTTAGTACAATAGTTGTAAAGGTATGTTATTACTATAAATCAATATATTTACTTACTATTTAAACGAATATATAAATATCTGATTGTAGGGTCAAAAAGACCTTCGCAGTATGCTGTTAGGGGCGTCATCTTCTGTCAGTTCCAGTACATCTAATATGATCACCAAAGAAGAGTTCAATGAACAGTATCCAGATGGTTACTGTGATACGTCGTTACTAGCTGAACATAAAGAATATTGGACTATGAACAAAGGTAGAGATTGCTTACTGTACGAAAATCTTCAAAAGACTACTCTTACCATACTATAAACAACACAGTCTACATCCTAGCTGCCATTGGGAGTCACGGGATTACATTACCATTCTATCGCGATTCTATCGCACACTGCCTTACCTAGTTGCGTGTTCGATTCCCCTTATGGTACACATATTTGTATTCTAACTTGTCCTTTTATCTCAGGACAACTCCTACAAAGCCTTTATGGCTTTGTAGGAGTTGTCCTAATATATTATTATTATTAATGACCATAGAAACTTATTACTGCTCATTTACTTAATATATTACTCCATCTGACAATAAAATTTGAAATCTATTTTCTGCAAATGACCATGTCTACAGTTGCAATGTAATGTATTAAATTAAACAATTTAGATCTTATTATTGTTAATTGCCTTTTGTATTATAGATCAAATAAACAAGGAAGTTAGGGACAAAGAGAAAGATTTAAAACTTCACACTTGGCTCGAGTGGCAGAGAACCTTACAGAAGACTATTAATATTGAACATTCGAAGGACAGTGAAATCCTAGCATCTCTTCTTCAATACAGCGATGCAAGAAGATTTGAATTGCCACCTTCAACTCAAAATCCAAGTAATTGTAATAATTATTTGTACTGTTAAATAGTATTTTAAGAATCATATTAAAATAGTATTTTATCATTACAGACTTTTATACACAGGACACGGTCAACCAAAATGTCATGATGCCATCGCCAGCTAAATTGAGACAAATTAAGAAAAAAACGAAAAATGTTTCTATAAAATCGCCGTGCAAAAAAGATGGTGATATAAGAGCTCTTTTCAGTACCGCAACTAAATCAACTAAGAGTTATACTAAACTAATAAACGACCTAGGAATTCAGAATCATGAAAATCTCCCTACGCATCTAATTAATTTATTAGTCGATTTGAGTTTAGATAACACAAGCAATACTAAAGAGTGTTATATGTGTCTTAGTATGTGTAATTGTAATATTATAAAAGAGATTAAAACACATAGGAGAAAGCCAGCCATTTCATTAGGATTTTTGACAGACACTAAATTTCCCGACCTAGAATTGATAGATGACATTAATGCAAACTCCCTGTTGGAATATAGGAAAAAAGCCGACAAAAGTAAAGAAACAATTGATCCCTTTAATAATGATGACAAAAAGATCATAAATAATTTTGATTTGGAATTAGATTTTAGTTTACAAGATCCATGCGAGCCTAGCACAGTAACAATTACACCAGAAATGTTTATTAGTAAATCAGAATCGCATAATAATTGTAATTTTGAACAGAATATTATTTTAAAATCTACACATGTAATATCACCAGAAAATAGTAATAAAATTCTAGATAACAACTTCGAAATTGGAGATCTTGAAGATATATTTGCTGATAGCCCCGAAGATATTGAAATTAAAATACACGATGAAAGGAATCAAAATCGTGATAGCGACAATAAATCGAAAGCCGAAGAAGTATTAAGCTTCTTCGGGCTTGATAGCGTTGAAGATATATTTGCAGATTCAGATAGCAGCGAAATTGAAATTGTCACAGTTAAAAAAAATGAAGACGAAGTGGCATATAATGAAAATGTCAAGGAAGTTCAAGGTACAACAATAGATGACCCTGGAAGTCCTTCTATTTTATCCGGTACATTAAGACTAACAGTCCCTACTTCGCCAATTCTTTGTAGTCAATCGAGTAAGTTTAACTTAAGTATTAAGAGAAACGCCAATGCAAAAGCACGTACTAGCCATAATAGGACTCAAGATGAAGACAATAAATGCCAATCAGTAAGGAAATTAAATCTATCGCCAAGTATAGTAGATACAAGCAACAAAAGCATGTATACCATTACACAACTTGTAGAAATGATAAATAAATCGGATAATGAACATTCTGTTATTTCTAAATCTGTAAGTGAATTGGAAAATCTTTCAAAGACAAATGAAATTAATAAGTCCCCTATACTTTTGACACAAGCCGATAGGAAAAAAAAATTGAATACGTCGAACATAAATTTATCATCTTCGTCACATAATGAGATTAAAGAAAGTCTTATAATATTAGATAGTGAAAGTGATTCTTCTGATACAATCGTGTATGATGCAGATGTCGGAACAAGTCAAAATTTACCTATAGTCAATAATGAAAGTAAGCTGAATGAAACTAATTTCTCTACTAGTAGTAAAAGGAAATTAGATTTCGAAAATGAAAATATTACAACTTCGTCACCATATTTTAACAAAAAACAAAAGCTCAATAATAATATTGGTAAACCAATGACATTGCAAGAAAAAGTATTAGCGTCTTTAACGTCGAATAAAATGGAAAATAATTACTTTTTTGAAAATAATAACAGTACCATTAATTTCGTGTTATCGCCACAGAAAGAAAATCAACATCCCCAAGAACCATTCAAAAAACCATCATTGTACAAAAGTGACGTCAGCAAAGATTATACTAAAAGAAACAATTTAGAAATGTTACAAATATTTAAACGTGACAAAAAAGTGAAAAGTCCTTTAGCTACATCTAATAGAATTGAAACTAATGGATTTACCCAATGGAAACACAAAAGAAGACTATCGTTTGATGACAGTGACGATGATTTCATTGACGACAAAAAGTGTAGTAAAAATGAAAAAACCGTAAATGATGAAGTTCGACGAATACCTGCAACTTGGAAACAAATGACCGGCGATGCAGTCAAACCTACAACTAATCATAAATTTAGAAAAGTGAGTTTTACAATTAGTTATACTCTATACTATATAATCTATGTATGTATACTAAATTAGATCTAGATGTCAAACTCAAAAAAATGTATTTTTTTTTTTCAGAAAAAGAAGAAACAAAGTGAATTTTTAGAGCTAGAAGCAGAGTTATCTGAGTGCAGCGCAGATAGCGGTGACGAACTTTCAGACGACAGCGCGGGCAGTATTGTCGATTTTATTTGCGACGACAATGCTGGCCACGACAACAATCACTCAGCTATGCACGCCCATTATTTGCAATCTGTTAGGCAAGTACTTAGATGCATAAGAATTTTGATTCTTCATGTCTCACAGAACATTTAGACCAATACAATTGAATATTAGTAAACCTGCGTGTGTGCCACAGCAATACAACACACATACTTGTATTAAACTTAATAAAATGTATATTATGTTTGGGAGTACAAGGAACATTTAGTTACTTGTAGAGTGGTATCGCGAATGTCACAAGATAACGTGATGTTATCATGATACCTATCCTACCACTCATGATATGCCATTCTGGAGGACGATGTCATGCCTTTTGTCCTATAATTTTAACTTTATGTTAAACTTCCTTTCAACTGAAACACAGCTTACAAAGCAAATAGTTTAGGGCTTAAATATGTAGGTGCAAAGGTTTATGCAGAAGACTTTTTACAAAGTCTACCTTGGTATAACTCTGTACACCTTAAGCTGAATAATAAATGCATCGACAAACTTTATAAGTCGCAAAGTAAATCATGCATAATTTGCCCGTACAATCTGTAATCCGCTTCAGATAATAATTACATTCCTGCACCACCACTCAACCGATATTTATATTGACATTTGCCGATGCGCAACATGTACTTCTCCTTACCCTTTTACCATAAGAAGAAAAGCTAATGCAATAGAAGTAGCAGCCGAAACAATTTGGTAGCATTAAAAAGGCTGAAAGGACATATTTTTTTACATTGTCTATGGTTTACTTTTTGTTTTTAGATATTACAATGCTGTCTGTGATATTCAATATGAAGATGTTGATAGCCTTTTTTTTATTTAGTTTTTTCGACGCTATTACATTGAATAATTGTTTATTTATTCTAGGAGTCCTGTGAAAGGAATGTTCAAAATACCGCATTTACCGAAAAAATATGACCAACAAGAAATATTTTCTCAATTTGTAGACGAAGATTCATATGAGATGGTATGATAGTTTCCAATTTCAACGCAATATCGCAATTGTTTTATATTTGATTTTATATGTTTCTTTCCGCTTTTAGGACAGTTTTTGTGTTGACTCGCATATTGGGCTAACTCAAGCCAATGAGATATCAGAATTAGAGGTGGCAGAGAACATTCTAGAGGCGAAAAGGAGAGCGAAAAAGTATCGCAAAATCATGACGCAGGACAACGGGGACAGTCCGGTAGTCGGACGTAAAAACAGACTTGCTAGACAAATACAAAGCGATTCTGAAGACAGCAGTTAACAAAATTATAGTTAGTCGTCGATGTCTAGCTGGTCTGGGCATCTAAACCTGTGATATTAATCATATTGTGTATACAGTCGGGTGCTCCATCGTTTAATATGTTAATATTTATTTGACAATAATAATGTAATAGATCTTAGAATTTAATTTATTTAAAATGTATACTGATAATAATATTTCATCGATCATGTATTGCGTAAAAGATAATATGATTATGTACAAAATAACACAGTGCCATTATTGGTAATTTGTCATTTATTATTCCCAAAACATTCAATACATGTTAATTTTATTTCAAGGAACCATACAAATACAACAATGATTCATTATAAGTATGAATGTGATGATCTCTACAGGTATGAAGTTATGAACAATTGTATATAATATACCACATAAATGAATTGTCCATAGCTTCATATCCGTGGTATTTTTGTTAATGATATGTAAACTAAACCACAGTATAATTAACAGTAATTTGTTGGCATTTTTTAAAATAAAAATCTACTAAATAAAAATATACCTTTTAATTGTTTTTTTTTGTGCTAAAACAGTAAAAACTGTTTATTACAATGTTTAAAACACATTTCACACTTAAAAGATTGATGTGCTTAATACATTCAGAAATATTGGAAGATTAAAAGATTTATAGTAATTCTTTGTCATAATAATTTTGCATATTATCCAAAAATGCTACAACAAAGAATCACTGTCAGATTTATAATTCTGTCAGACACTACCAATACATATATCTTTCAGCTGACGAAACTACTAATGCTTACAGCATCTAAGAAAGTCGGCTAGCTCTATAAGACGAGTCCTAATGATCGAAACTTGGCTATTAAATGCAAATAATGTCTTAAATTGCTATTATGCTTTCACTAATCTTTGAGATTTTTAACATATCTAATGTATACTTACATACTCAGTATCATTTGCTGGATCAGTCATGCCACATTATATTCGTATTTCTATCAATCTTTTAAACACACATTCATTCTAATAACCTTATCCATAAAAATGAAAAATCAAGAATGAACCATATTAATCAATTATTTTATGTTCTACCAAATTAAGAATTTGGTTCGAAATAAAGAAATGAGTGAAAGAAACACTAATAGATAAAATATGGCCTTATTAGTAAAGTTTTAAAATCGACGTATTTGTAATTAATTAGAGACAAGTTGCAAACTGTACAACTTAGCTTGCATCTGCAACTTTAAAATGGTTCATAGTAAATCGTAAATCGAGAATTGTTAATACATCGTTACAAAATTAGTGTCTAGGTCGATTTTCTGAATAAGGGATAGGGATTTTATTAACTTTATTCTTGATAATACAATAAGTACGTCTTAGGTAACTTTTCGGAATACACTAGCGGCTTGTTTCGTCTTTGTCTCGGTAGAAAATATACATAATATATAGCCTATCTTCATCTGGAGTAATGCTGAAAAAAGTTCTGAAACAGTCCAGTAGGTTCGGAGATTACCCTTCATATAAACTATCTCTTCATTAGTGTGAGGTCATATAAAGGACAACATTGAATTTGTACTCAATTCTCAATTGCCGTAAGATGCATTATAATATTTTAATGACTTTAAGTATCATTCCATAAAACTATAAAAACTATTCTTCGACAGCCTTTAGATCTGTTCCTTTTATTTGTTTTCCTTTGTGAAGTTCCTCTAGTTCTGTTTGAAGTTCGCCGTAACGTTTCTGTAATTGTTTTTCACGATCCGTTTGACGATTCACGTCTTCTGTTAATGACTGCAAAAAAATAATCATTCAATCATTATTTATACCATCGAAAACAGGCGAGCAACAAATTCTGACTTGATTGAAAAACACACTAGATAAACATATTTATATTCTTTATACATCTAAAATATGCATCCTATTAAAGCGGTGAAAAAATTTATCAAACATTCTGGAATACCTTCCACCCATAAATTGTGAAAATTAGCATACAATTTGTAATGTTAATAATATACCTATATTAGAAACAAAATGTCCATGTGAGCACACATATCAAAGTATCCCTAAATTATTTTAATATGTATTTTCTGAGTGCAAAAAAAAATACATTTCTACCAATAGATTCATATCGATTACCTCTATTCTTCTTGGAATGGCCGCTTTCTCCTGTTCCGCTAAAAACTTGAAAGTAGAAAGCTCCAGATTAGACTGCTCTATCTGATCTTGTAATTCTTGGAATTGCTTTATTAATGAAGCAGCACGACTCTGGTAACCGCCTACAAACAAAATAATCCAATAAATTATGTTTATTCAAACCCAATATATGTTTAGGTGACAGAATTTATGTTAATATACATGCTTTGTATCTACGGAGGCATAAAACCTTAGTCTTGTGGAATGGCAACACTACCACAGGCTTCACATGATGACGTGATACCTGTGATACTGTTCTGGTTTACATAAAAAAAAAATTACCTGTGAGCACTCGAAGTCTCTTCTCCATTTTCGAGCATTTTTTAGCTTCTTTTGCCATGTGATTTCTATTCTGTTCTAACCTCTTCTCAGCTGATTCTAACCTATCCTTCTTGCTGGCCAAGTTGGCACGTGTGTATCTATTTTGCCCTGGGAGAAACAAAACCTAAAAATACAAATGAAAAAGCATATGACTTTAGTTATTGATAGTTTTCTACCAATTGTGTAATATTAATTTCACAGTTCATTATCAAATAAACTACACTTGTTATGAATATGTAGTATTCATAATAAGTGTAGTTTATTTGACTTAACCAACCTAAAGTTTTACTCAACAACGACTCTACCTTTGACAAAACAAATATATCATTATTTACTTATTAACGTAATACAAGCTTCATTAAAACCGTATATCTACCTGTGCTAAACACTCTTCCCATACTTGTGTGTACGCATCTATACTGAGGTCTCCATGTCCCATACCGGCCTTCACTACCTCTATTTCCTTTTTGAGCTCTTGTTTAGCGGCCGTCAGTTCTTCAGCAGTGAAATCCTCATAGGGATGTTGCTCTAAGTACGCTAAGTGTGATGCTTGTAATTGCACAGCTCGCTTTTTGTCCACACCTGTTTGAATATATTAGATATCTATAAGTTAAAGCTTTGCCAGAGAAGAACACATTTGCTGAATATTTTCTTCTCTGGTCTGGAAAACAGTCTCTATCTAATTTTGCGTAATGATTCTTCGCCTAAATATATATAACGATCAGTTTGCTATACAGTATATTTTAACAATTAGGCGGATCCTAGAGCAATGCAAAAAAATGTTTGTTCTTTGGTGCATAAACAACGCAACGTGACTGTAGTACTGTATCTTATCAACATTTTACGTACATTTATAAGATGATTTTACAATGAATGGAGGATAACTTAACGACAGTAAACCATTAGTACCTCGTTGCGTAGACCTACTATTGCATAGTTCCAATTAACAATGTTTTCTTATGTTTACTATATACGTCATACTACATCGCAAGAAATTTGCAGTTGCTACTTAACAGACCTAGTGGGGGGTCTCGCAGCGCGTCATAATGCAGCATGGTAACCATCTCTGCCTTCAGCAGCTCCTCGGCCTGCTGCAGAGGCGTGAGAGTGCTCCCGGCGCCGCCCCGCACTACGGCTCCGTTCACGTCCACCGGCCGCGCGCAGCCTCGCTGTACAGCCGTCGAACGTAATGCCAGTTCTGCCAAACCTGCAAAACAGTTATTAACAGTAAAGAAATATTTCGGAGACTTCAAAACAATAGCTATTTAACTATCATTTGACAAGTGTTAAATCTTTAATACTAAGTATTTTTAGTAGATATCTTTGTAAAAAATGAACCTTTGTTCAAAATTTCAGTAGATAGAAATCGGGCGGCAAGTCTTCGAAATGTCCATCAGTACACAGAGCAATTAACACTTTTTTTTATTACAGTTATTATATTATCCTTTATATTTTATATCCAAGCTATTTACAAAGGCGAAATAGTTTGTATTACGCCGCAGTTTTATAAAAAAAATTCAAAACAAAGCGGGCTTGCATATGCGGGCAGAACTTTTAAAATCGTCCTTTGCATACAATTGCACGCAAACAGGTCTTGGAAAATTGGATGTAGCTTTCAACAAGCGATAATTTGATAACAAGTGTCTTATGCCTGTGGCAGTGCACACAGAGTAGCACATCACGGCAATTTTATTTTGACATATGGTCCGTGTTCTTATTAGGTTGTTTCTTTATATCATTATGCTGTAAGTACATGGTAGTTTAAAATTCGTGGCTATATGTGGCCGGAGTACACGCCACATGGATACCCCATGAATGAATATTAGTTGATACTAATGTCGTCGATGCGCTAAAGCTTCATACCATCGAGATGAAAATGTTGCGATGGTCTGGTGGAGTCACGAGACTATGTAGCGTGCGAAATGAATACATCCGCGGTAGTTTCAAAGTGGCCCCAATAACGGACAAATTTACCGATAGCCGTCTCAGATGGAATTTATTTTATTTATTAGAAACCAACGGCGTTACAATTTAATTTACATTAATGTATGTTGTAATACTGACCGCAAAAGAGGTAGAGGACGTCCTCCAGTCACTCGGTGGACCGGCGCGAGCGAGCTCATCAACCCGGGACGAACCGTCCCGGCGCCGAAAAATCAGGAGAGCCGACCGCATAAAGCGGGACAGGGCTAAGAGGATCGTTCGTCTTAAGAAGAAGAGTGGGTACTGACGTCGTTCGTCTCGGTCCCGCAGCCGGCGCGCGTCGACGTCGGCCTGGTCGAGGAGCGGCGCGGGCGCGGGGGCGGCGGCGGCGGGGGGCGCGGGCGCGGGCACCACGATCTCGTAGTCGTTGCGCGGCGCCGGCAGCCCGCCCAGCGCGCTGCGGACCGACGCCACAGCCTGCCGCCGCACGCGACGCACACTTATTATCTTACTAGCCCTACCCGCGGCAACGTTCGCGCCGCGCTCGCATAGGAAGCCTCAGCCTTTGTTACTCTTTCACGGGAAAACTGCTGAGCGTATTTTGATGAAACTTTACAGTGATATAGCTCCATAATATAATAGGCTATAAATTTCACGCGGGTGAAACCGCGGGTGCGGCTATTAGTAATATAATATCCTAGGACGATTCACACTCCGCGCACAGAATTACACTTATCGTCTTGCTTTTTATCTAAATCTGTATATGGCGGTTTTCTATGTACATATATTAAGTAATAATATTCTACAAGATCTGCTTAACTTGACTCGATGGAACTGTGAAAGTTGTCCTAAGATAACATTGTAATTATAATGAATAACATAGTGTCATGTTATAATGTTGTAGAAATAAATGTAATCTTCGCTAAATAACAGTACATACATTTTATAAAACATTCTACATATCTATAAAATGATATAAATAATATAATTAAATCAAGTCATATATTCTAATAGATATAGGTATATCATATCCCAGCACAATATCCAGAAGTAACTCATAACAAAAAATTTAAGCAAATATGTATGGTAAAATGGAAGAATTTTTTTTGTAATAACGAACAATTTATAACAACCCTTAGTAAATATGACATTTACAATATATATGTATCTTCCAGATTGAATTTAAGAGTCGTTATATTACCTGTTTTTGCAACTGATTCGCCATTTGAGGAGTGTCACCGGCGCTCAACCGATCTTCAGGATTAATGCTTAACTTGTCCCGCAATCCTGGCGTCTGTAACACAAAACAAATTGTTAACAGCATAATCTAACAATACAATGCTATAATAACAAAATTACTTTTAACACTAAAAATATTTAATACTAAAGTCATTGGGATCGCAACAGCTGTACTTACCATTAGTGCCGACTGTCCTGTTGCCTGACTGGGTGTATTAAAGCTCCCTGGTGTAGACACTTCGCTGCGAGTTGATCTAAAATTTAAGAAATATATAAGAAAATAGCTAATTTCATTACTATTCTACATGTCTTTCAGTTTGGCAACCCTTAAAGAATTGGTACTGAACTTGGACTTCAAGGATCGGCCCTTCACAATTAACTCTACAGATCTTAAATAGTATAACATATTTTATATTCTAATACCTCTAGTTCATAATTTATATACATCATTATAAATGTAATTATACAAATTAGCGGTATGTCAGTAGGCTCATCACTATGTCACATGTTTCAGCAAAACATGGACATGTCAAGTGTTGGATTCACCACAACGTCGACAGTTGATAATGCCTCCAATTATCCCAATTAGGATAACAGCTGTGAAGATATTGTTTCGTTATCACAATTAACTTTAGTTCTGACATCTCTACTTAAAATCTATCATCAATGGTAATGTAACAGTTGTTCAGCATACAACATTTATCTGAAGAGAGTGCCGAGCGGATTTAACATCTACAAATCACGTAAATCAGAACAAATATTTACCTAAAGGGAGTGGCGAGGACAGTGTTGGGCGTAGCTACAGCCTGCGCGTGTGGTAATGCTCCCGAGAAGTCCGATTGTTGCAGAGGCGTATTAAGACCGCCCTTCAACGGTGTATCCACGTGCGTCAGTGCCATCACGTTCTGCGCCTCCATCAGGATTCTGACAGTTTCAACACAGTAAATTACATATATGCAGAGTGCAAACTTCTGTGAAACAGCTGGTGTTCTATCTTGAAACTACAAACAACTATTTCTATACAATATTTTTGTTCCAAGTGGCTTGGTTTGTAAGCAGTTTTGGTAAAAGGTCAGGTTGTGAATTTACTGATATCACATCTTAATTCTAAGGAATAACAAGGCATCACAGGGGGGAAGGGGGTTAGTAATGTGGATTGATAACCCCATTGCTAGCAATGTACCATGTCAGGTCGACCTCCACGCGGTTCCCCCTGGAAACCATCGTGTTAAATTCCTGATGAATTTGCACGATGGGCTAACTGACCTGACCTCATGCTCATCTTATCATCCTCCACTGGTGCCCCGCTAGCGTAAACCGTTAGCGCAGGCGGGTGCACCATTCCATTATCAACCCAAAAAAAAAACAAGGCATCACATAATTGAAGTGAAGCCTGTGGTGATATTCCAGTGTAATATGATAATCTTGAATGAAAACTTGTTTTTTTTTTTAAATTACCTGATAAAAAAGCAAGTTTAGTTGCCATTCCATTTACATACAAACTCTGACGGTAAAACTTATTTTTTATAGAATTGTAGCTATTCCAGTTATATAAAAAAAACAAAAGTTGATGTTAGTGAGAAGGCTGCCATAGCTCACCTGTCCTGGTGGTGCGCGGGCGTCCGCAGCGCGGTAGCTGGCGCGGGCGTGAGCGCGTAGTCAGCCAGCAGCGCGTCCGTGGCGGCCTCCGCGTCCCCCGCACCGCCCGCGCCCGCCCGCGCCGCCTCCGACGCGCGGCCCAGCTTCACCACTTGCTGCAGCTCCTACCACACGTACCGGATTATCAGTAACGGGAGCTGAAGGTCCCATTGCTATCGATGTACCTTATTAGGTTTTTTTATGTTGATAATGGAATTTACCCGTCTCCGCTAACGTTTTACGCTGGCGGGGCACCAGTAGAGGACGATAAGATGAACATGAGGTCAGGCCAGACTATCGTGACAAATACACTAGAAATTTATCAGGATGAGTTTCGATTGGGAGGTCAAACTGACATAGTACATTGCTGAAAATGGAGTCAACCGCCCACATTACTAATATTCTATGATCTTGTCTTGGGTTGACTTCCTTAAGAATTCATCATGATGGTCCGTACTCGAGCTCATCCTATCATTCATTACTTGTACCCGCCAGTAAATAGTAAATAGTTCGCACCAATGGGTGCTCCATTCCATTTTAACTGATTTAAAACCACACTTTTATTACCAACGATTCTGCACCCCAGTCAATTGTGTTTGTAACGGGGAAGAGAGATTATTAGTAATACCACCTACCGATACTATTAATAACATTATAGCATTATGAACCTCCAAGACATATCTCCAAGAAAAATGGTTAATTAGTAATAATATTACTAGAATGGAATAATTGACTTTGATTTATATAACATTTACATATATAATTTAACAGTACATTAGTGTACCATCAGCTATACCACAATCATATAGTAATTATGTGTATATAATTGAATATATATGAATAGAAAATAAATTAAATACATCAATCCATGGATACATTGCCAATACAAATTTTAGAGCATACCTGATCAGACACTTGCGGCTCGGGTAGCACCAGCTTGCTACGTTTGCGCGCAGGCTGGTCACCCTGCAGCATTGCTTGTGGCACGTCATTTTCTTTCCGCTGCTTCAACTTTTGTTTATCTTTGCGTCGCTCCCTCTGTGTGATAAATCATAGTACAATAGTTTAGATCAGTGTTACTCATCCTTTTTTGTAGCATGCCCCATCTTAGCCTTAACATACATCTTCTTATATATAAAATTCTCGTGTCACAGTTTTCGTTCCCATACTCCTCCGAAACGGCTTGACCAATTCTCATGAAATTTTGTGAGCGTATTGAGTAGATCTGAGAATCGGCCAACATCTCCTTTTCATCCCCCTAAATGTTAGGGGTAGTCCATCCTTTTTTTTTATTTTAAGGCAAAACAACGTTTGCAGGGAACTAGTAACATATATATAAAAAAAATCTAATTATTCACGTAAGAAACTTAAATGATAGCTTTTAGGAAGAAATCACTAGGAAATTGTTAAGAAATCACAGGAAGTAGAAAACATATAATGAAAATTCAATTTCCAAATACTTTTAATAAAAGATTTTTCAATGTTAATTTATTATTGTAATTTAGTGAGATCCTTGAGCTTCAAGTTCTAATTTAGTTAACTTAGGCCTCAAATGTGCATGTTGTGAGACATAAACTTGTTATTATATAAAAAAACCTCCCACCTCTTCTTTCTCTGAATGCAGTTCACCATCAAGATGCTGTTGCCTCAAGCGTGAGAAATCAGGAGCCATTGGGTCCACTACTTCTGTTGAAGTATCATAGAAACCAGCTGCCGGTCGCTTCTCGAATGGAATTTCTGAGTTATAATCCACACCACGCTTCTTCTTCCGCCTAAATGGAGAACCAAATGATTTTGAATAAGTGTACATACTTATTTAATATATTTTACAATCACACAAAATATCTGGTTTTGCACAGGAACAACTATGTGAAACTAGGCAACAGGTATTGAATTGTTTCCTAAATTGTCCCAATTATGACAATAGAATCCAAGAACATAATATTAATATGACACAACAAAAATAATTGAGATGGCACATGACTTTGTTGTGTTGAGAGTGAATATAGATACATAGGTAGGAAAGGATAAAGTTAAAAATCCTACTAATACTATTATGTGTTTATATAAAAGTATGTTTTGTTTTATGGAAAGGACGAAAGATGTTTTCACCAGTGGACATCTTTCGGGCTTTCCATAACAAAGGCCTATCCCAAAAATCTTCTCGACGATCGGTCGGCTGATCACGTTTATATTGATCTCAAAGTAAATAAATTCAATTCGCAATGCTTTTTTAGTACTTTTTTATCATAATAAATTAAATGTGAGGCTCAAGTTACAGATAAACTACATACAGTTAATAAAATAGAAATGTTTATATACCTCATGGGCACAGCAATACCAGCAGCGCTCAGCTCACGTCGCTTCTGTAAAGCTGCCAGGCGGCGTGCCTCTTCCAATTGTTTTTCGCGCGCTTTCCTTTTAGCTTTTTTGCCCTGAGTGTTAGCAAGACGTGCACGTGCCTCGGACAGCATTTCCAATTCTGGTATATGATAATTAAACAATTAAATTAAATGGATACCATAAAGGAATTTTGAATAAAATGTATCATATATATATATAATAGAATAGAATAGAATACAATAGAATAGAATAGATAAATATTGTATGGCAGAGTGATTATTAATATGTTGACAGAGAAGTAAACTTAATGTTAAATTGTCCACTAATATATTATTTATGTAGGCTTCAATGATAGATGCATGAAGTAGAACATTGCATGAAATGGAAACATAGATGTATGCAAGAGAGAGAGATAACAAGTGGAAAAAACAAAAGAAGGAAGTAGAATGAAAAACAATAGAACAGAGTCGGAGAAATATATGGAAGATTGTTGACATAAGTAACTATTATTTGCTCCCACTATATCCCATATTCACTATTCTTGATGAGTCTTATGTGAAATTATTTGTATAAAGAATATATTGTATTACAGATATAGTAATATAAAAAAATACAGACAAAGTCATACGTAACAACTAGGATCCAATAGCATACTCACCATCTTCATCCATGTCTTTGGGATCAGGTCTGGCAGGTTTTGTTTCAGGATTTGGATCAATTTCACCAGGCTTCAGCTTGCGTGGGTCATCTCCCATATCATCTCCCTCTTCTTTCTTTTGAGCTTGGTCCCTAATAGTTTAACAATATGAAATCATAATAAGTTTGCTTATTGAGGTTCTCTTTGCATCTTCAAATAATTTTCTATATGTACTTGGTTACAACTTGGCAATTATAACAGCTTTATGGGGTTGTCTGCCATATGAGTGTCTAGCATACCATCACATATACAAGTCATCACAGCTACCAGAATCATTCAGAATTACATTGTAACAACTAAATACCAGTGGTATTTAGTAAGATCTACAAGAATCTACATTACAAACCATTGTATACTAGCAAAAGTGAATATTTATACAAATGTAACAAAATATATTGAAAAGATTTACAATTAAACAATATTTAAAAAATATGTAAAATGTGTTACATATTTTTTGATGAATATAATACTAAACCTATCTATAAATGTCCGTAATAACAAAATTGGTATGGAATAAGTAGGTAAGTAGCTCTTTAGTAGTAATGTAGTATAAGTATTCTGTTTTATTTATTCTGTATTATCTACAAATTCAAATTTGAATTTGAGTATATTCTGTTTTATACCACAGGATGAATGAAACAAATATAATAATAATGAATTCTAAATTGAAAAAGAATCATATTAAGTCAGTCTTCAATTAAAATATAGACAAATGCTCCACCTTTTACAAGGAAAAATAACTTACAGTAAATATTCATATCGCTCCAAACACTGTGCTGCTGTACGTCCAATGATAGGTGCTATGGTGCGCCACTGTGTTGGCATTAACTTGGCCAGATGTAATAATTTCTCATCCTCCTCCCGGGACCACTCAGTCTTCTTAATGCTCGGATCCAGCCATTCATACCACCTGGCTTTACACTGTTTAGCTGATTTTCGATGTAACAGTGAGGCAATACGTGACCACTGGTTTTTGCCATATTTCATAACAGCTGCTTTGAGAATTTCATCCTAAAGGAAGATATTAGTTATTATTACTTTATATTTATGATACTATCTACTCATCAATCAGATTATAGTATTGCCAATGATAGCAGGTAAGTAGAGAACACAAAAGAACCTTTATATAGAACTACAGGTTTTTTCAGTCAGTGAATATACATTTTTAAAAGCAATTTTTAAGATTGTATTCAGTACTGAAAATCATCTTAAAATCACATTTATATGCAATTATTCCATTGATAAGTATGTTTGTGTTTCAGCATCCCTAGGCTACTGTAACCATTTACTATCAGATGGGCTGTATGCTTGTTTGCCCCTACATAAGCTACATGAAGTTTTATTTGTATCAATTCATAAGTCTAACTCGCCTGCCGTAAGTCTACTCTATGGGAATGCATTCTCTGGTAATTATACTGTACGAAGGAAAAGCAAGGCATAACTGGATGTGGGGATAGGAACTTGTAAGGGAATATAAGTTGGTATATGGATGGAGGAAAAACTGGAGTTAGAGATATTTTTTTAAATGTAATTAAACAAGGAACATTACAGAAAATACATCATTTATGTAAATTTAGCAATATTTTCTAGCATCTAACAGTACATTTTACATGTATCTATTGGTAAGCGGGCGGCTCTTTATTATCTAAGTATACAGAAGTACACATGTAACAAGTAAACTTAAGTAGAACACATGGAAAGGTTGATTCTTTAATAAAAATCATAACTAAAAAATTCATCATTTTTTTCTAAAGAAAATTGGTATTCACAAACCTCTGTGTTGCGCCACACGCCGCCCTTTATCATAATTCGCGGCATGGTGAGTTTGGTTGATAAACTGTATTAATACGACTTAGGCAACCTCAATAATATGGTTTACAAGATATCTAGTATCCGTTAAATAAATCGATAGTAATAAAGAAATAATTTCACATTAGCCGACAAAGTCAAGTAAAAGATTAAAAAATATTTATAAGGAACTACAGACTGCAAGGAATAGATAACAGTATACTACAGATACATTATGCATGACAGACATAGATCCACAAACGCTGAGTATGTTATAATTGTAAGCATAGTATACATAGTAGACATATATTCAGTTAATAAGCACTTATGTGATATATGTCTCTATTATAAATGTAATGTAGTTAGGACATGTTTTTATTGGAAGTAACGACTACAAATTGTACGAACAATACTGTTCAACGTATGATGTTTAACCTTACGTGGTCTGTGTTCGAAGCTTAAATGTCAAATCAATGTCACTAAACATAGGCGTTTGACAACTTGAGAGTCAAATACAGAGTAAGTTTATTTCTCTAAATTAATGGAGGCGTTAGTCGAAATAAATAAGACACTCCCTTTTCTTAAATCCTAAAAATTTATATTGCTACTCAACGTAAAGTAATGCCATATTTGTCTCTTATCGTACCGCCATAATTGTCACTACGTAATATACTTAGTGCCTACATTAAGTATGTATATTTTCCGTTGACCTGAGGTTTTTAAGCGTGTATTTCGTGCAACATTACGGATGGTATGATCTCAACCAATTATCAAATTTAAAAGCTTCCTTTTCATAATTTCGAAGACTCCCTAACTTCGAAATCAACAGGTCAGTGAAGAACTTGTGTTATTTTACAAACAAAACTAATTTATACGGAATTATACTAAATATTATTTATTTTCATTGGCCGTCAACTCTTGGAAGGGTAGAGGGGATAAGGAAGGAAATGTTTTATCTATTAGTAGCTGAGACCGCGACTGTGTACATGTAGTGTTGGAATAACATTAGTTTTAAGTTTATAAAATTTGTATTTCAAAAGAGTTTAGAATGAAACAAATATTAGATTTTAAGTCCAGTTTACGACTCATTAGTGAAACCACATCCGATCGGATAAGCCCTTTTTTCATTAGCGCATAAATGCACACTCACATTTTTTTTACATTACTGTTATGGTTTCTATTACATTGATAAAGTTTCCCAGTAATAGTGTTTGTCATATGCAGACTCATCAGTTTAATTTTAATTACATGTATGAATTTATTAATAATGTTCTAAATACAAAATCATCTGTTAGACTGTTAATTATTATGTTGATCTTTGTTTTCAGGAAATGTCATTATCAAGATCAGTTCATGTCAGCCAGCAAAAGCTGGCTGAAAAATTAATATTATTGAATGATCGCGGCATTGGCATGTTGACAAGAATATACAATATCAAGAAGGCATGTGGCGATGCTAAGTCCAAACCAGCTTTCTTATCAGACAAGGCATTGGAATCCTCCATAAAACAAATTGTCCGTAAATTCCCAAACATTGATTTTAAAGGACTTCAGGTTATAACAAATATTCGTAATGAAATTATAAAATCTCTTTCATTGTACTACTACACTTTTGTTGACCTCCTCGACTTCAAGGATAATGTTTGTGAAATTCTGAATGTTGTAGATTCTTGTCAAGTAAACTTGGACTTGACAATGAACTTTGAATTGACAAAGAATTACTTAGACTTAGTTACAACTTATGTGTCTTTGATGGTTCTTTTGTCTCGAGTAGAGGATAGAAAAGCAGTCTTGGGTTTATTCAATGCGGCACATGAAATGGTTCATAATCAAATAGATCCTAATTTCCCTCGGTTAGGACAGCTAATTGTAGATTATGATGCACCACTAAAAAAGCTATCTGAAGAATTTGCCTGTCATCAAAAACCATTAATGTCTGCATTGAATTCACTGTTTCATGTATATCCTGCAAGAAATCTCACAGCAGAACACTGGAGATCTGAGCAGAAGCTCAGTCTGGTAAGCAATCCAGCTCATCTTCTAAAACCATCAGAAACAAATACAATGTCATGTGAATATTTGTCATTGGAGTCCCTGGAAAGATGGATTATATTTGGTTTCTCACTCTGTCACCAAATGCTGCAGCAAGAACGGTGTAACAAAATGTGGGTTAGTGCTTTAGAGTCTGGGTGGGTCTTAGCACTCTTTCGTGACGAGGTGATCTATATTCATAGTTACATACAAGGCTATTTTGATGGAATCAAGGGGTATGGGAAGAAAGTGTCAGAGGTTAAAGATTGTTATCATCATGCTGTGCAGAAAGCAGGTTACAAACATAGGGAGAGGAGAAAATTTTTAAGGACAGCACTAAAAGAGTTGGGGCTCATATTGACTGACCAGCCTGGTTTATTGGGACCTAAAGCTTTGTTGATTTTTATAGGACTTTGCTATGCAAGAGATGAAGTATTTTGGCTATTACGTCATAATGATAATCCTCCTCAAAAGGTTAAGGGCAAATCAACAGAAGATCTCGTTGATAGGCAGCTACCAGAACTACTATTCCACATGGAGGAGTTGAGAGCTCTGATGCGTAAGTACAGCCAAGTTATGCAGAGGTACTATGTGCAGTATTTGTCAGGCTATGATGCTGTTGCCTTGAATCTAATGATACAAAATTTACAAGTCTGTCCTGAAGATGAAAGTATAATACTGGCTTCTTTATGTAACACTGCTGCCAGCTTAAGTGTTAAACAAGTTGAAGATAATGAAATATTTGACTTCAGAGCATTTCGTTTAGATTGGTTCCGTTTACAAACATACACATCATCAGTAAAAAGTGGTTTCCATCTTGGAGAACACAGAGAGTTAGCCCAATTTATTGACAAAATGGTTTTCCATACTAAGATGGTGGACAATTTAGATGAAATAATGGTAGAGACCTCTGACTTGTCACTATTTTGTTTTTACAATAAAATTTTTGAAAGTCAATTTCATATGTGTCTTGAATTCCCTGCACAGAATCGTTACATTATAGCTTTTCCACTTATATGTAGCCATTTCCAAAATTGTACACATGAATTATGTCCAGAAGAAAGACATCACATAAGAGAAAGAAGTCTCTCTGTTGTTAACATATTTTTAGATGAAATGGCTAAAGAAGCTAAAAATATTATCACAACAATTTGTGATGAACAGTGTACAATGAGTGATAAACTCCTTCCAAAACATTGTGCCCAAACAATCGCAAATAGGAAGAAAAAGGACAAGAATAAAAAAAATGTGATTGAAATTGTAAAACCAGGTGCTGAAAGTTATAGAAGAACAAGAGAGGAACTAACCACCATGGACAAACTGCATATGGCTTTGACTGAACTTTGTTATGCCATAAACTATTGTGTTAATGTCAATGTATGGGAATACACATTTGCACCTCGTGAATATTTAAACCAACACTTAGAGAATAGATTCTCTAAAGCATTAGTTGGCATGGTGATGTTTAATCAAGACACTAGTGAAATAGCTAAGCCATCAGAGCTGTTGGTTAGTGTTCGTGCATACATGAATGTATTGCAAACAGTTGAGAATTATGTACATATAGACATAACAAGAGTATTCAATAATTGCCTTCTGCAACAAACACAGAATATGGACAGTCATGGTGAAAAAACTATAGCATCATTATATACACAATGGTATTCAGAGATTCTGCTGAGAAGAGTTAGTGCTGGAAGTATTTGTTTTTCAATGAACCAAAAGGCATTTGTGAGTTTATCAGCTGAAGGTGCAATTCCATTTAATGCTGAAGAGTATTCGGACATCAATGAACTGCGTGCTTTAGCTGAATTGATTGGGCCGTATGGCATGAAGCTAATGAGCGAAACCCTAATGTGGCATATTGCAAGTCAAGTTCAGGAGCTGAAGAAGTTGGTTGTTCAGAATAAGGAAGTGCTTCAAATGCTACGAACCAACTTTGACAAACCTGAAATCATGAGAGAACAATTCAAAAGGTTACAACATGTTGATAATGTATTGCAAAGAATGTCAATAATTGGTGTTATTTTGAGTTTCCGTCAAATCGCTCAAGAGTCACTATTGGATGTTTTGGAAAGACGTATTCCATTTTTAATTAGTTCAATTAAGGACTTCCAGCAGCAGTTGCCCAGTGGTGATCCTATGCGAGTTATATCCGAGATGTGTTCAGCAGCTGGTCTGGCTTGTAAAGTAGACCCAACATTAGCAACTACGTTACGCCAGCATAAAGCAGAATCAGATGAAGAGGAGCACCTAATTGTCTGTCTATTAATGGTTTTTATAGCAGTATCATTACCAAGACTGGCGCGCAGTGAGAGTTCATTTTATAGAGCATCTTTGGAAGGTCATGCAAATAACATACATTGCATTGCTCCAGCCGTCAATCATATATTTGGTGCACTATTCACTATATGCGCACAAGGTGACATTGAGGATCGTATGAAGGAATTTCTAGCATTGGCGTCGTCTTCTTTATTACGGCTAGGTCAAGAAACTGATAAAGAAGCTATAAAAAATAGAGAATCGGTTTATCTGCTTCTAGATATGATTGTTCAGGAATCACCGTTTCTAACAATGGATCTACTAGAATCATGTTTTCCATACGTACTGATACGTAATGCTTATCATGAAGTTTATAAGCAAGAGCAAATGTTATTACATTCATAATGAATTCATTTTTATAAAATGTATTTTATGAAATATAACAATAATATAGTGATATAATTTTATTAGTATAAGCTAATGCTTCACTTTTATATGCATCGTCGAGGACATACAGAATGAAGTAATTCTCTTCTTTGTGAACATCGGGGATATCTATAGTGGATTCTTATTTCCAATATTACTAAAATTAGCATTTAGCTAGTGTATATTATTGAGATATTAATATGATTTTCTTCTAAAGCAATTCCAGAACTTAGTATTTCGAAGTAGGAAGAATTGGTAATTTGAAAACATCGTTTATTTTGCTAATTAATAAATAAATTATTAAGCTTTAAAAGACTGGCAAACTGTTTATATCGTTTGATTGTGAATACACAAACCTTATTGTAGAAGTTATATTATTTATGAATAGTGTTAAGAATAAATTTAATTTCTTTGCTTATTCTCATGTTTAGTATTCTCTTATAATTTTAAACTAAGAATTAATTATCGATATATGAAAAATTATTACGAATATTATTTTAAATTAAGAATAAATCCAGAGTAATAAATATTTGCGTCAAGTTTTGAATATACTTTTGTAAGTAGGTAGTCTTAGTTATCTAAAAGTATACAATGCTATGACATGTACTGGCCTATAAAACCAATTTGGAATTTAAGGGGATAACCTCTACGTAAGTTTTATGTTTTATATATATACATAATTGTCACAAAGTTAAGATTATAGGCATCAAGATGGGTGGAGTCTTCAGATTCTACTGTCGTAGTAGGGCTATAAAGAATAGGAAATAGTAATTGGCACATTCCTCATTGCATTATTAAATAAAAATGTTTATCCCACATGACAGTATTGTATAATTACTAGTAGGACAAATGTTGTATTAAGGCAGTAGATTAGAAATCATAGATGTATGCACAATATTTATTTAATTCTTTTTAATTTTAGATAACATAGGTACACTTTGACATTTGTGTATTCTTAAACAATAGAATAACTTTATATATTAACACATTTTGTATGTTCTAACTTAACATTTTTCATGTTTTCTGAAACATTACGATCACACTTCTAATGGAGTTATCTATTGACGCACAGATCACGATTTTGGGATAAATATTTTAAATGTACTTTGTTCTATACAAATTATTTAGCCCGTTTTCCAATTATCAACAATTTTGTACATTGTATTTACATATACCAATTATCTACATGTTTAATAAAAAATATACTTCATACATTTGTTTTCTTTTAAAATAATATTATTTAGTAGTACCACAGATAACATAATATTACATACAGATACCCCATCCCATACAAGAAAATGGTTCCTTCCTAACTCGGGCTATTCTTCGGGCTATTTTATTTCGCCACCGTAGCCGCTAGATGTCGCTAGATCTGAAGCAGTTCGGATTACTAGTGGGTGCTTAGTAACAAAGCATGAAAATAGATGGCAGTCAATTCAGTCTACATGACATCTGTTTTGCAAAGATATGTATATAATAGATATGTAGGTAACTGTATCGTGTACCTCATTAGGGACGATTCAAGATTCAATGTAAATGTGTAGGTATAATATCGTTAGCCGACACTCTGCAGATATGGCTTATGTGTCAATGTATATACCTATTATGTTATGGTTTATTTTACATTCCATGCCTATTTTTTTAATATGTTGTAACGCGTCTGCGCTATACCTACGTATAGCCTGATACGTTTATACTCGTACGTATCAAAATCGGGCTATACGATTTTTTATTTCAATCATTATATGTATGAGACTGATTTTAGCTACAATTAATTTACTGGTATATACCTCATGTACTCTACGATGTACCCCTCTTTTACCTAATGAGAATTCCGCTATATCTTATATATAAATTTTGTATCACAGTGTTAGTTGCCATATTTCTCCCACATTTTGATGAAATTTGATATGTATACTTGCCAGGTCTGAGGTAGGGTTGTTATCTATTTTTTAAACCCCTAAGTCACAGGGGTGGCCTACCCCGAAAAAATATTTTTTTGTATTATGGACAATTTTTTATTTATTTATAATGTTACATTGAAAATACATACACGCCTAAATTTTCACCCGTCTTTCACCAACCCCTATTTTTAATAGCGATATTCTTACAAATATTATAAATGCTAAAGTAACTCAGTCTGTCTGTTTGTCTCGCTTTCACGCCAAAACTACTGAACTGATTTAATTGAAATTTGGTAGACAGATAATGTAGACCCTGAGAAAGGCTACTTTTTAATGCGAAAAAGTATTGAAAGGGGAAATGAAAGGCTATATGAGGATATCGTAATTTTTAAAGTCAGATCTTGTAAGATTAAGTGAACAGGGTCGGTCTAGGTTTTTCATTATTACAAATGTGTAACGGGGTAACACGTTATTTAGTGCGAAATTGTGTATATTACAATAAAATTTAACGAGAAAATATTATAATGATGTCACTTCGACACTCATTGCCTTACTACTATATCGTCCGTTGGTCGCGAACTTTCTGGAAACACGAGAGGCGCGCTCCTATTGGTCGGTCGGCGTAGATGAGTAGATGAGGTAGACGAGTCTCACGGCGCCGCAGCGTAAGTACTTACTATACATACGTAGTATACATATGGGTGTTACAAATGTTTTTATTACGAGTAATATTACTCTGTTATCTAAGCAAGTAATGTGTGCTTATTTTGAACTTGATAACATTCTGAATTACTCGTATATCTTTCAATATCTTTAGCGGTATAAACCAGGTTATGTACTACTACTAGTATTGTTAGTGAGGGATAAAGTTGACGAACAAAAATAAAACAATATTCGTATTAAAAATATATTCATCTAATATTTTTGGCATTATTTTTAAGTTTCTTTCAAATACAAGGGGTCTGACATGTGGTGTTATGTACCTACATTAAAAGATACTTTTTGAAATGTATGAATGTATGTACCTACATTAAAAGATAATTTTTGAAATGTATGAAATGTATGTACCTACATTAAAATATCATTTTTGAAATGTATGAGATGTATGAAAAAAATGTATGTACCTACATAAAAAGTTCATTTTTGAAATGTATGAAATGTATGAAAGAAATGTATGTACCTACATTAAAAGATAATTTTTGACATGTATGAAATGTATGAAAGAAATGTATGTACCTACATTAAAAGATAATTTTTGCATTGTATGAAATGTATGAAAGTAATGTATGTATGTATCTTTTAATGTAGGTAACATTAAAAGATAATTTTTGACATGTATGAAATGTATGTAACTACATAAAAAGTTCATTTTTGAAATGTATGAAATGTATGAAAGAAATGTATGTATGTACCTACATTAGAAGATAATTTTTGACCTGTATGAAATGTATGTACCTACATTAAGATATAATTTTTTAAATGTATGAGATGTATGAAAGAAATGTACCTACATTAAAATATGATATTTTAAATGTATGCACCGTACAATAACAATACACGTTAAACATCATACCACAGAGTCATACGCAAGTTAAAAACAAACTGCTATGATATTAATGAGAAAGGAAAATCAACTTTATGGTATTCGAGTTAGGGTCGATTTCTCTCTTTTTTTTAAATACTATTTTAATCTTACCCGTTGCCAGTATTCGAAGACAGCTACGATTCGTACTCGATATTTTAAATTATTATGTAATCGATTTTTCAGTACAAATGTAAATAACCAACGACACTAATAATGTACTACTATATTCCGTTCTTTGAAACGGAACACTGCTATAATACAAAATAATGAAAATTTACTGTTCACAACGACTCATTAAAAGCATCATCGAATAATGCGCTGTAATAAAATCCTGTTATCGATTATTCAAAAAAATCGATAATACATGTATTTATTTTTAATATGACAACACTTCATACATAAGTATTATTGGAAATAGTATTACTTGCTTGTTCGGCTATTTTTAATTTACTTAAAAAATTTTTATATGTTTAATTTACAATAATAATATATTAAAGTGCTTATTATTGGAAAATATAAAAAAGACATTTAATTAGGCCGATACAAATGACGACAATGCCATCTATGAAAGCATTTTGAAAACATTGAGCCCCATATTAGCACTGATTAAAGTGTAATTAAGTACTGGAAAATAACAAAATGACTAAATATATGAAAATTACTTTTCTAAACGCATTATTTCATTTTAACATGTATATATAACTTTTAAAAATTGATTAAACATTTTTGAAAACACAGTTTTGTTTTTTAAAACGTTTGCAAAACTATGAAGAATTCCATCGATACCAATCACGCCATCTATATGCCACTTTTAGCAATAATAATGGCTACTTCCTCATTGAGTGCCACTGGTAGTACATAGGGTGGAATCTTTAGTTGTTGGTTAGGATAGCAAGGGAGTGTGTATTTTCAAGAAAGTTACTTCATTAATTATTTAGTTGTGCATTCTTTCCAAGTTATTTGATTAACCGTAACTGACTTTAAAGGAGTTCTTACATTTTTCTTCTTTGGCCTGGATATTTTGTCTTGAGAAATAATACAACAAATGTTTTATGTAAAATTTATTGTTTTTTTATTTATTTTGAAATCACATGTTGTAACATTCATCTTGTTAATTAAAAATATTCACATTGTCATTTAAATAATCTAATGGTAGTCTAGCTTATTCTTAGGAGAAATAATGCCATTGAATACTACTAGTGATGGAAATTGTATGCTCCATCCATTACACGATTGGTCAAGTCACTCTACAACGGAAACATTACCCTCTCGGTTTACATACAAATATACAATTATATAGTATAATTACAAGAATTTGAATATTGTTTCGACATTCACTAATAAAATGGCATTAATATGGTATACTTATAAGACCGTCCCTTAATATAATTGTATAGAAACAATAAAAATACATCATGCTCTTTGGCTTGCACGACGGAAAGTAACTACGTAGTAGGTTTGATTGATAATAAAATCTCATTACCTATCAAAGAGATCATTACAACTGAAACATACAACAAAATACACGTCTGTCTGATACAAAATATGAGTGATTGTGATATGCAACTGGCATCCAGAAAGTAATTATCAAATTAATTGATCGTATAGATCGTATTTTTGAGCCATCTTTACGCACTAACTCATACACACAACTACTAAATAAAAATGCGTATTACAAAATTTCATTACCACAGCAGGAATGATTGATTTTCAGTCTAATAATATTTGATCATTTGGCAATACTGTTTAATTTTCATATTATATACTACTTAAAAATATAGTAAACGAATTTAATGAATACAAAAGTACATTAATTGCCTTAGGAAGACTAAATGCAAATTTCGAATTTGAGCCCACACTTTTTAGTAAACAATGAATAAATAATTGGGGTCATTATCAGATGGAAGGTAATTTGTGAGTAGTAGTAACAAAGGAATAGAAACACGAAATGGTATAATGGCACCTCGACATTCCACTTACGTTTACTTTAAATACATTAAAATAACTTTATATAAAAATTATCAACTTACGGAGATTCGAAGTAAAACCATGCAGTAAATCTATACAATACTAATACATCGGTATGAATATAAGTCATTTTTGTTTGATATTTTTACATCGTAACCTTTGTATACTTCTCCGTTTATATACAAAAATATACATAAATGTCCAGTTGTAGGAGCGACAACTCTATTATATTGAGTGTAAAATCGTCGGCCCAATGAACATCACGCCGCTATTCACTGTAATATTTTATTACGTTTTACAAAAATAATAGTTAATTTTATAGAACACCGTATCGCTCGTCGACCGAGACATGTTTTGAGCTCAGCACAAGTACTATTATATGGATTTTATTAGTATTGAGCAAACAATTTATTATCCTTGACGAGTCACGAAGAAAACGGTTATCGAATAGATTAAAATGAACGGATCCTGATTGCGTGGCCACATTAAATTGGCAACAGACTTAGCGAGTGGCGGGCCTTCAGTTTGTCCACAGTGTGTAGCTAGTTCTAAATAAGTCAAACCATGTTTTAAGTAAGTGCCATAACAATATAATATACAACATTTAAAATTAACAATTCTTAAAATTGTTGTCGGACTGCAATTTTTCTTGAGTGAAATTGTATCTTATAATTTGGTATAAACACGTCCAATGAGCAATGATGGTTGTTATGATACCGTCAGTCAATGATGATTGCTGTGATACCTGTCCATGATTGCTGACTTTGACATTTTTATAATTTTAATATATACCTCATTATTACGCTAGAAGCCAGTTCTTAAACAACAAATACCTCGGCCCTTGCACTGTGGATAACTTTGGCGATATCATACGTTTGATACTTCCACACCGTGGCCGCGCATTCAGTATTCGCTGAGAGCGGCGAGAGCACTCCTGCAACCTATATATCTGCTTGCGGTCGCTGCGGGTGCGTGACAGTGAGCGACTCGGGCGAGTGCAGCGTGATGGTGGTCTGCGAAGCCACCGTGACCGTCCGGGCGGCGTCCGCGTGTGCGGCGGCGGCGGGCGGCGGCGAGGCGCGGTACACGTACCCGAGCAGCAGCGGCACGCCCGGCGCCGGCGCCAGCGCCACCAGCTCCAGCTGGCCCGGCTCGCCTGCCGCCACGCCGCCGCCTCCGCCACAGTAATCGTACTGTCAGACCTTCTGAGGAGGTCGCATCTCGTATGATTGCGGGTATGCTGTCGCGTACGGTTCGCCTCTTCGCCCGCTCGGACCCGGCGGTGCTGACGCTGAAAACAATAGACATTTATATAACTTGCACAGACTTTAAGATGTTTGGCTTCGGTTACCCGTTACGGCCACCAAACGGTTTGCTTCGTAAGCAGTATTTTGGTTGAATGGTGAAATTATAGGATAAGGTGCATGCATGAGTGGTATCATGAGTGTCACGTAATAACATTGTCTATAGTGCTGTACATGAACTCCAAATTAGCCAACCATTACCATTTACAGTCAGGTGGGTTTGCCAATGTCATATATATCGCCATATTGTAAGATATTGGAGGAGTGTACGTACCGAGGTCCCTGGCGGCGTACGCGACGGGCGCGGAGTACTCGCCCTTGGAGGGGCGCGCGCGGCGGTGGCCGGCGCGGGGGGGAGCGCGCGCGGCGGGCGTGGCATGTCCCGGGTGCCGCATGCGTCGTAGCGTGTTCATCGGCCTCCGCAGCGTTTCCGATATCCGCCTGCGGGATGGATAGTATTATTTTCTCTACGCATTTACGGAGATACGTAAACGTATGGAGAAAATAACATCATTGCGGTTCCCAGTAGATTAAAAGATTATATTATATTATAGGATGTTTCGAGTCCTTAATTTTTTACAGCAAAAAGCGATATACGGTGATGATCTAGGTTATACCTTACTTTATAAAGTAATCTCTACTTTGTACAATAGTATAAAATAAAGATGATGTTAGTAACCTTACAATAAACATGTTATTACACATATTAGCAATATAAATATGTGCCTAAATTTATTTTTTTGTCTAATTTCATATTGCAATAGAGCTGTCAGTCCCCATTACTGATGTGTATGAAAAAACATTGAGTATTATAATAATAACTCAGAACAAATTACACAGCGTCACCTAGTTCCAAAGTAAGCTGGTTATGGATACTAGACAACTGATACCTAGGTAATATACATAAGCAACACCTAGTTCTATACAATCATATTCATTAACAAATTCCTCTCAGTCCGTCAAAGACCATCGAAGCTGCCGATTATATCTTACCTGGCTGGCGGCCGCTTCGGGTTGGACGAAGGCGTGTGTACTGCGCAGCACTTGACGAACCCGCCCATGCACACGATGAGCGCGACGCCCGCCAGCAGCACGGCCCACCAGTTCTCGGTGACCCACGCCTGCACCGACTGCAGCGTGGCGCGGTTCAACAACAAATTCTTCAGACGCACCAGCGGACCCTCCGCGTCCACTGCGCGGCACTTCAGGAACACATCGCAGTAGCCCTGATACAGACAGTTTTATTTAGCGTGTTATTCTTTGTCAACAAATAATTATACAAAGTACGTACAAAAGTATTTTATTAAACAATTTAGAACACAACCTATTAATAGACGTGGGGTATGATATGCGTGGAGAGCAAGGATCATTGATTATTATTACTATATTACTATAAGCTGGCGCAGACTAACTATGGACAACCGTAGTTCGGTAGTTTATCTATGACATTTAGCAAACTAGGAATTATATGTTTTGACATATGATATATCAGATATTTCTGCTTTAGAGGCCATTGTTGTCGCTGGGCGAGCTGATGCGCGAAGTCTGCCGTGCTGCGGCAGGAGTCGGGCGCGGGGGTCGCGGTACCTGGAAGTTGTCGCAGGGCGAGCCGGGCCGCAGCGCGATGCCGCCGGGCGGCAGGCCGAGCTGGTGCGCGAAGTCTGCCGTGCTGCGGCAGGAGTCGGGCGCGGGCCCGGTCTGGCAGGCGAGCTGGCACAGCGCGCGCCGGTCGGCCACCGCGGTGACGCCCGCGCCGCGGGCCACGGGCGCCGACGACAGGAAGCACTCCTTCATGCCCCACGCCAGGCAGATCGAGCCCGTGCACTGGCCCATGTTGCACAGCTGCGTGCCTGCACAACGACATACACTGTCTTACTGCTGATAACTATGGTTGACGCGACAGATCACCGTATTCTATTACTTTTGCAAACAATATTAATAACTAAAATATTCTACTAATACTAAATAAATAAATAAAATAACTAACTTATATAAATAGATATTAAAACATTTTTAGGGGGGAACTTGGCCTACGCGATCTCGGCACGTGACTAGGATCAGTAATTTTTAGGCGGCTGATTTTTTTTTATAAAATTTCAACGCTTTGTACATCTGTTACACATTAAGTTATGTAATTAATAATAAGTTAGAAGAGATCACGATGGTTTACATACTTATGTGGTTTACTTACATATTTACTTATTGCAGTTAGGTTTACTACCTAAGTCACATTTCACATTTTATAACAGTTCTAACAGTGAGCTAAAGCTTCTCAAAGATATTTAATGAAAAATTTATTCCTCTCAATACAAATAAAAAGTATCACATTTATGGCATCATATTATATAATCATCATATGTAAGCACTTACAGTAAACACAACTTTTAATGTATTAATAAAAAATCTATTGAAAGAAGTAATTCTTTTTAAACATATGAACTCTGATGATCCTATAATAGAAAACAGTATCGTACAACGTGATGTAAAGGTGACAGTTACCATTGTTGCACTTGGTCTGGTTGGACATGACCCGTGGCTCTGGACACTCGGCGGAGCGTCCCGAGCAGACGGACGCGTGGCTGCACTCGGTCGCCTCGCGACACGTCTGGTTGCGGAACGCCATCACGAAATTACACGTGCGCGAGTGGCAGCACGGGCCTTGCGATGGGCTGCAACAATATATATATACACCTCTGAATATATCACACGTCAGCAGCTAGATATAAATTACGTATCTATAAGTCCAGGACGGGGTCGAAAAATTAAAGAATTGAAGGATTTCTTTGATTTCACATTTACTGCTAAGACTAGTTTTAAGCAAATTATATAATACTTCAATAATATCACACGTCAGCATCTAAGAGAAACTAAGTTACGTTCTAGTCCACGATGGACTCTAAAAATCAAAGAAACCCCCCAAACAGTGACTTCTACCTAATGTCTAAGCTAAGACATACAGACAAATCCCTCCAAGGGGGTGAAGACAACAATTTCATACAAATAATAATAATGTAAAAAAGCCAGTTGGGCATCAATGATTACAATACTATCTACTATATTTACCTGCACTGTGTGTTGGCTCTTCTTGTGCATCCTTTAGCTGTACTGTTCCTTTCTTTATCGTAGGAGCTTACTTGGCGCGGATAGCAACAATTATCTCTACATTCATTTTCGTCGTAACCTGTGCAAACAAGATTGACATATTAAATTATATGTGGATACAAGAGTAATATCTTAGTTATCAGTAAAAAGTGGTTGGTACGATTGATTCATGAATTTATTGTAATTGTAAGAATCATGACGTAACGTGTTCTAGGAATGGTGACGACAATGATGTAAATATAAGCAGTTTACAATGCACTTCAAATGGTAAACAGTCACCTCCTGATAAAGAGATATGACGGTATATGTAATTTTGAATTAAATGAGTAGAATATACCGTGATTATAATGTAGTGAGATTATTTTGTTTTCTGTTGTTTTTATAAGTCCAAATTGCAGATTTTGTACCAAAAATCTGTTAATAGTCACATACTCACGTATAACGGCTATATGTGTATGTGATTTGTAGTAATGGTTAGAGAAGTGGCCCAACTGCTAGCAATTATCATATAAGGTCAACCTCCACAAGGATGATTCAGCTCATGGTGGTTAATTATTGGTGGCTAAGTTATGAAAGCAATGTATGGTACATTGCAGTCAATGGGGTTATGGGGTCAGATCCACCTCCACGCGGTTGCTCATTATCGTTATCATCGTTGACCTCATACTGTACTGGTGCCCCGCCATTGTATACCGTTAGCGCAGGAGAACGCAGAGAAGCAAAAACATTTCATTATAATCTCTTAAAAAAACGAATAAATAAAAAGAAAAATTTACCGCAATCGCATTCCTCGCCGTCTTCAACTATTTTATTGCCGCAGAATGCGCCCGCGCTTGCTGTAAGGCAATTGCGCTTGCGGCCATCGCGTACAGCATCGAGCACTGCACTGATGTTGCCCACGGAGCACGTGGAGAACTTGCTGTTGTTTGGCCGGTCGCCTGATGTAGCCGACGCGAACATTATGAAGTTGCCTTGTTGCCCACCCGGACGACACTCGGATGGATAGTCGTGCTGTTGTTATTGATTTCATTAATATTAACTAATAATTAAAATAACAAATGCATTTAGTTTGGAGGGTTTATCATTACCAGAGGTATCATATTTGATACCTCTGGAAGCAATCGAGACTTAATGAACTTATTTCATCAGGTACATATCTATTATAATATAATTGGTACAAGATAATTTTGCCATGAATAATATGTAACATTAAACCGTTAATCTTACTAAAACAGGTTTGTTTATGCTGATAAAGTATATGTTTTTAGCTATAGAAAACTCCAAAAACAGACTTCTTTAAAATCAGTTTTTAATTGGACTTCCAGCATAGCGCTTGACAATAATTCTTTTACGCAAACTAATCTCATATATTATGGGACAAAGTATATTTGTTGTGAAATAAAAACTTACATTACCTACTTCTATTTGTGTAACTCTTTGCTATAAATCTGTCGTATCTAAATTTATTTAAATTAATCTATATATCTGTACTCACGGGTGATCCAAAATTATGTCCAATCTCGTGGGCCAACGTGAGCTGGCTGACTTTTGGCGGCACACGGCTGTTGTAGTTTACAAATGTGATAATTCCCGTATTGAGTGACCGTTTCGTACTCTGGTACATGCCGCCTATCGTTTCCGTGTATGTCTTATACTTCTCACAAATGCCACCAGAAGCACCACTGGCACTCGCTACCCATGCCAACCCTGAAAATTACGAAGTATTTACGTAAATATTTTTTTCATATACTTAGAATGGCAAACAAGATGATAGTATATCTGATGAAAACAGTCGCTTATCACAATATCAGCATCACAGAAATTATAAAATAGACAGTGAAGATACCATGGGTATAGATCACTGTGTAATATGTGAAAGCAGTTTTTTTATTAATTTATATGACAAATAAGAGCGCCCCAAGTCTTACCTGGTGGTAATAGTAGCCTATACACATGAACTTCATCACTCACCACTAACATCACTCTATTCTGTGACCCCGGTAGTACCAGTTATCATTGCCATTCTGGAGGACGAAATGTTTCCGTAATCTAAATTTAACTGCCTTATCTCACTGTTCAACCGAAACACATCTTATAAAGATTCTTACGACTGAAAGAAGTGTTCGTTTCTGTAATGGACGGTCGACAATTTTCATCTAGTCTAGTGGGTGGACTGGTTTTTTGATAATGAAATTCTATATGGAAATTAAGCATTTCCAAAAATATTTAAATATATTACTAATATTATAAACGCGAAAGTTTGTGGAAATGGATAGATGGCTATTTGTTACTTTTTCATGCAAAAACTACTCATTGGATTTTAATGAAACTTAACAATATAGTTTATACATCAGAATAACATAGGGTGAAATATAACGATAAATGCCAATTCAAAAAATGATACAGGCGTAGTTGCGTGAGTCAGCTATTTATTATATATAATACAACAAAAACTTCAACCAGTTACAAGTATAGGTAGATACTGTGTACTCACGTCAGAAATAAAAACACAAATCACTACACACAAGAAATACCTACATACTTCCAATGTCATTAAATATATTATATTACCTATACTAAGAATACAGTTGATATATTTTTTGTTTGTAGCAAAAACATCAATTGACCTTGAATTGATATATCAATAAGAACATATTGGCATTGTTACGAGATGGAATAGACACGGCACTTGTTTGTTACGTTACTGACTCATACGCAATCAATGATAAATTATAATGTCTAGATTTCGAACTAAATATTGTTTCATTAAGGATGTAAACAATTTTATGCACTGATTCAGATTCAGTTGTGGTAGAGCCACTATTGTATTTTAATATTAATAATTAAACTAGTTTTAATATTCAGTTATGGTAGGCATTAAAATACAACACCGATCATAAATAATAATATGTACATTATATACTTCTGAATCACTACAAGTTACAAGTGAAACACATTATTTACTATTGCCCATTATACTAAATTTGTTTCCACATTAGTAGTCAATATTAATTTATTAGCTAATCACCTATACATGCTCGTAAATCACTGTTTACAGTATAATAATTCGGACTAGGTGTTTATGAAAGTGTAACTGGCTACGCGTATGATAAATTAGTTATACTTTCATAAATTTGTATTATTTTCTTATATAATGCATCTGTATTATATATGTAGATACAATCTATACAAATAAATAATCTTGAAGTTCTGCTGGTCATTCCTAATTAACAGCTTTTCATTAAATGCATAAGAAAGTATATACGTTATGTCAATCTGTCTGTTCTTCCTAATCTAATGGCTGAGCTGTTTTTGACAGGACTTTCACTCGCAGAAAGCTAATATTATAAGTAACTTAAGAATTTTAGAATTTTTATTTATTTAAATAAATAACAGCTAGCATGGAATAAAAATACACATTATTATGCATCTTTTTATTTAATAAACTGAAATCCTTCGCACAAGTTCGAACTGCAGAAGGGTGGAAAGGTGGAACAAAATACACAAACGAACTCCTCACAATATGAACCGTGGCAAAAACTATATCAAAGACGTATTGTAATGAAACTTTAAAATCATGCGAAAGTCTCTTGAATAGAAATTTCGCTATGGTGACTATTATGCGAACAATTGCTCGTCCAACTGTATAGTTAGACTTTACTGATGAGATTAGTTGTTCCTGTATTATTTTTAACGCAATTTTACCATCAAATTGCCCGACGTAAAGTATATTCTTGGTGCTGAATGTGCGTGTCTCACTAGGCTGTCATGAGGCATAATTGGAACGCCAATTGCTTCAGCTGAACTGTAGCTATTAATGTATAATTGTTGCTCAAATAATTTCGTGTTAGTGACAAATTGAACTCGAGGATACTTCAATACAAAATAAAGGAATTTGCAAATTTCTTAGAATCCATCTTTAGCCTTCTTAGATTCTAGAGCTCTAAGTTACTTTACATCCAAAAGAACAATATTAACAAAAGAATATTACAACTAATATCATAAATAGACTTGAAATTACTGTACGAGTATACGTCTCGTATCTTAATTTCCTATTGTTTCTAAAACTAAATTTTTACAGACACAGTTACAATTTAATTTTTGTTCACCACAACGGTTTACTGGTATGCTTTAAGGCCAGAGAAACATTAAGTCTACTGTGAACACAATTTTAAATAAGCTTTGTATAACTTGTCAAGTATATAACGAAACTTGCTATGTTAAAAAAAACAACACAATCTCTCTCTTGTTACTGTGTAAACAATATAATATATCAAAACAGTAATTGCGTAATTCTTACCTAATGTTCCACCTGTGAAGTCCCTATATGTGAATACGTAGGCTAGGCAGAAGTCCTCGTGGTTGCCGAGCGAGTGCAGATTCAGGAAATTGGATACGTCAATGTTCTCTAAACAGAACTGGTTCCTGTCGTATTGATGCGTCACACAAAACGAGTCGTCGTCGATCTGTTTTGAATAGATATTAATAACAATTTAAAGATAAAGATAAAGAAAGACTTTTGGTATCTTAGTAGCATGATATCGTATAAATTAGTTATATATTTTTTATATGTTGAATATACCTAAAATCCGTTAAATTATTACGGAATAGCGTTCCTATTTTCCTCTTTTAATATTTTATTTTCTTCTCTATCTGTATATATACCGGAAAATAGTAGTACGAAATACAATACTTAAAGAGGATAATTTACAGTCTTGACTTCAAACAACTGAAAAGGGCATGAATATTAAGGAAAATTAATTTAAATCCATAATTATAATAAAGTACTGATATGGTAAGACTGTAAACCCACCTGAAATGAAATTATGGTGCATAATCATGAAACTGAAGTGTTTCATAATACCATGTAACCACACGGCTTCCGCCCATCTACATTACTTGTATTGATAGTAGTTTAAGATAATGACGCTAAATAATTTAATAGGTTCTATTTTAATATACATAATACCTTTATTTTTGTAGAAGCTGTGTATTATATATCTTATAAGCAGTAATAAAATCATCGACAGACTAATTGATATATTAATAATAATGTAGGGACTGCCTAAACCATTGGCGTCATAAATGTTTATATAACATTTCAAATACATTTTATCCCTATTATTTAGGTATCCTCTAAAAACGGATATTTCGGAATTCCCACAAGTACAGAACACGAATAAAATCGGCGTAAGCCGACAAAATTAATATAAATAAATAAGCAAGGAAAAATAACTGAGCGACACAACGCTACTGTTGCATAGGTTATTGTGATGATTTGTGGGATAGCTGAATATCGATAATGAGTTAGCGCAACGTGTGACGGGGTATACTCCAAGTGTTAAAACGGCCTGCCTACATACGATACAGAAATCTGTACTGAAATCGGAGCCGACCTTAAATCATTTAGTGTTGTGTGAAGAAATAAAAATCTAATAAAATCTCTTATACAGGCTCAGTCTTGCTCTCTAAGCTCGTGTACCATCGTTTTTAAGGCTGTCAAAATCTCGTACATACGTATGAGGATAAAAATATCCTCGTACTGATAGTCAAATATCTCGTATTTGTATGAGGAATTTTGTACAGTTGGAATCATTGCCACCGAGCTGATTTTAGTGTCGTGTGTGTACCGTTGAAAATGTAATGAAGGAAATTCACCGCAAGTATCTCAGGTGCGATAACTGAATGTATATAATGACCTCATTTAGGTAGAGATTACAAAGATTCATTGAAAAAGTATTTAGTGTTCGTAATGTTTTATCAGAAAGAATTAGCATAATAAGAATACATAAACCTACAACTCAAGACTTAGCCCTAAACTCTAGTGAATTGTTTACGACGCGCTGACTGACTTGACTTCATTACTCATTCCATCATCCTCTACTATTGCCCTTACAAGTTATACAATCAGCATATGTCGTTAGCGCAGGCAAAATATATAGTATAAAAAATACTAGTACATAGTTGCGGTTTCATTACTAATAACAGTGGCACTCAATGAGGAAGTAGCCATTATTATTGATAAAAGTTGCATATAGATGGCGTGATTGGTATCGATGGAATTCTTCATAGTTTTGCAAACGTTTTAAAAAACAAAACTGTGTTTTCAAAAATGTTTAATCAATTTTTAAAAAGTTATATATACATGTTAAAATGAAATAATGCGTTTAGAAAAGTAATTTTCATATATTTACTCATTTTGTTATTTTCCAGTACTTATTTACACTTTAATCAGTGCTAATATGGGGCTCAATGTTTTCAAAATGCTTTCATAGATGGCATTGTCGTCATTTTTATCGGCCTAATTAAATGTCTTTTTTATATTTTCCAATAATAAGCACTTAATATATTATTATTGTAAATTAAACATATAAAAAATTTTTAAGTAAATTAAAAATAGCCGAACAAGCAAGTAATACTATTTCCAATAATACTTATGTATGAAGTGTTGTCATATTAAAAATAAATACATGTATTATCGATTTTTTTGAATAATCGATAACAAGATTTTATTACAGCGCATTATTCGATGATGCTTTTAATGAGTCGTTGTGAACAGTAAATTTTCATTATTTTATATTATAGCAGTGTTCCGTTTCAAAGAACGGAATATAGTAGTACATTATTAGTGTCGTTGGTTATTTACATTTGTACTGAAAAATCGATTACATAATAATTTAAAATATCGAGTACGAATCGTAGCTGTCTTCGAATACTGGCAACTGGTAAGATTAAAATAGTATTTAAAAAAAAGAGAGAAATCGACCCTAACTCGAATACCATAAAGTTGATTTTCCTTTCTCATTGATATCATAGCAGTTTGTTTTTAACTTGCGTATGACTCTGTGGTATGATGTTTAACGTGTATTGTTATTGTACGGTGCATACATTTAAAAAAATATATTTTAATGTAGGTACCCACATTTCTTTCATACATTTCATACATGTCAAAAATTATCTTCTAATGTAGGTACATACATACATTTATTTCATACATTTCATACATTTCAAAAATGAACTTTTTATGTAGGTACATACATTTCTTTCATACATTTCATACATGTCAAAAATTATCTTTTAATGTAGGTACATACATTTCTTTCATACATTTCAAAAATGAACTTTTTATGTAGGTACATACATTTTTTTCTTACATCTCATACATCTCAAAAATTATCTTCTAATGTAGGTACATACATTTCTTTCATACATTTCATACATTTAAAAAATTTCATACATTGCAAAAATGAACTTTTTATGTAGGTACATACATTTCTTTCATACATCTCATACATTTCAAAAATTATATTTTAATGTAGGTACATACATTTCTTTCATACATTTCATACATTCCAAAAATTTCATACATTTCAAAAATTATCTTTTAATGTAGGTACATATTTTTCAAAATATCATACATTTAAAAAATTTCATACATTTCAAAAATTATCTTTTAATGTAGGTACATACATTTCATACATTTCAAAAAGTATCTTTTAATGTAGGTACATAACACCCCATGTCAGACCCCTTGTATTTGGAAGAAACTTAAAAATAATGCCAAAAATATTAGATGAATATATTTTTAATACGAATATTGTTTTATTTTTGTTCATCAACTTTATCCCTCACTAACAATACTAGTAGTAGTACATAACCTGGTTTATACCGCTAAAGATATTGAAAGATATACGAGTAATTCAGAATGTTATCAAGTTCAAAATAAGCACACATTACTTGCTTAGATAACAGAGTAATATTACTCGTAATAAAAACATTTGTAACGCCCATATGTATACTACGTATGTATAGTAAGTACTTACGCTGCGGCGCCGTGAGACTCGTCTACCTCATCTACTCATCTACGCGCGGTAACCGCGCCGACCGACCAATAGGAGCGCGCCTCTCGTGTTTCCAGAAAGTTCGCGACTAACGGACGATATAGTAGTAAGGCAATGAGTGTCCCAGTGACATCATTATAATATTTTCTCGTTAAATTTTATTGTAATATACACAATTTCGCACTAAATAAATGTTACCCCGTTACACATTTCTAATAATGAAAAACCTAGACCGACCCTGTTCACTTAATCTTACAAGATCTGACTTTAAAAATTACGATATCCTCATATAGCCTTTCATTTCCCCCCTTTCAATACTTTTTCGCAATAAAAAGTAGCCTTTCTCAGGGTCTACATTATCTGTCTACCAAATTTCAATTAAATCAGTTCAGTAGTTTTGGCGTGAAAGCGAGACAAACAGACAGACTGAGTTACTTTAGCATTTATAATATTTGTAAGAATATCGCTATTAAAAATAGGGGTTGGTGAAAGACGGGTGAAAATTTAGGCGTGTATGTATTTTCAATGTAACATTATAAATAAATAAAAAATTGTCCATAATACAAAAAAATATTTTTTCGGGGTAGGCCACCCCTATGACTTAGGGGTATAAAAATAGATAACAACCCTACCTCAGACCTGGCAAGTATACATATCAAATTTCATCAAAATGTGGGAGAAATATGGCAACTAACACTGTGATACAAAATTTATATATAAGATATAGCGGAATTCTCATTAGGTAAAAGAGGGGTCCATCGTAGAATACATGAGGTATATACCAGTAAATTAATTGTAGCTAAAATCAGTCTCATACATATAACGATTGAAATAAAAAATCGTATAGCCCGATTTTTATACGTACGAGTATAAACGTATCAAAATCAGGCTATACGTATAGCGCAGACGCGTTACAACATATCAAAAAAATAGGCATGGAATGTAAAATAAACCATAACATAATAGGTATATACATTGGCACATAAGCCATATCTGCAGAGTGTCGGCTAACGATATTATACCTACACATTTACATTGAATCTTGAATCGTCCCTAATGAGGTACACGATACAGTTACCTACATATCTTTGCAAAACAGATGTCATGAATTGACTGCCATCTATTTTCATGCTTTGTTACTAAGCACCCACTAGTAATCCGAACTGCTTCAGATCTAGCGACATCTAGCGGCTACGGTGGCGAAATAAAATAGCCCGAAGAATAGCCCGAGTTAGGAAGGAACCATTTTCTTGTATGGGATGGGGTATCTGTATGTAATATTATGTTATCTGTGCTAATAAGTTAAGTCAACCAACAAGTGGTCCCATAGAAACAATGTGGTTAATTTTCTATGATAGGCTCACTGTGTTTATTTCATCCTTACATCTTATTTATCACCATCATATACCATTAGCTCAGTAAGAACCAGCATTTCATTATTAACCATAAAAAAGTATTATTATAAATAGTAAAAAACATATTTTCCAGAATATCGTATAAACCCACCTTGATCCGTTGAACTTCAAACTTAATGTTCCTGTGCACTGTCCGGCCATTAAATGTGGTATCCCGGTAAATGTAGTTGACAGCAGTCACGTGGTGGGAGATGAGTGACAAGATCTCCTCTCGAGTCTTCATGTCTACTTCAGTGCGCTTTGTAGGATCCCGATGCTGGAATGTAGTGTTGAATATCAAAATTGACCCTTTGTATAGAAATTGAAATATCGTATAATGCTAATTTAAGCATTCGTTTTTTTGTCGATATCTTTCAAATTAAGGTAAAATAGCTTGTTAACGAATGACAAATATTGTTTGATTGAACATTTGATGACCTCATCAAATGTTATGTATATTTTATGACAATCAGGTAGGGTGGAGATGTACGAGCCACTGCAGTACATTACAATTAATTTTTTACATACATGTATATTAACTAATAAGGTCATGCCTGTTATACTTATTACAGTATTAGAGTTCTAAGTTCATTTTCATAAATGAGTGCGAAAACAAACGCCAAGAAACCTAACTGACTTTTAATCTTCACCGTCCAGCAGTCCTATGAACGTAACATAAGTGATGGGATAGTTGTCTCAACATTTGGTATTTCGATCCGGATACAGATTTTTTTCGGATATATCAATGTGGACGGGCTAAATTGAATCAGGATTTACTCTATATACAACACTTACTTCAGGAAATCCCTCTCTGACGTGCCGCCAAATCAGAGGGTCTGTTTGTATGTACAACGAGCATGTGCTGCGATTGTCCACAGTAGCTCGTTTTGTGCGCGAATGTTCGCCTGTGTTCGCACTACGTGAATATTTATTGTGATGGGGATAATCCCAGTGTCTGTAAAGAAGGTTTACATTCTGAATCTCAAATTAAGCTTCATTTTTTTGTCTTATGCGACAGTAATCTCCAAGGCAGGGTGTAATCACCAGAAATAAGATAACTATTTTATTACTGGTGTTTACACCCTGCCTTCTTTGGAAATTTAATCTAACATCGTTGTCGCCACGAGCCGTCAGACTATTATCAGAATTATTGTTCACTATAAAAAAGAACTTAATGTGAAGAATAATGAAAATATAACCTCTGTTTTATCATACATGTATATATACATATTTAATGAAATCGATTCAACTATTAGAATAGTAACAGCAGGACTTTACATTGTTATTTAAGGATTATGAATTTAAAATGACAGTCACATATAGATAACTTGTCGTCACATATAGTATAAACTCAAAAATCGCAATAACCGGGTTAGTTTGTTCATGTAGTATGTTTTAATGGGAAACTAAACCGCTTTAAAACAAAGAGTGAATTCACAGAATAACTAAGTTAGTTCGTAGGTATAGTAAAGAGCACTGTAGATGTAATCCCCATTGGCGGAAACTGTCGCGAAGTCTAAATTATAGTCCAAGCTCGAAGTTTATTACCTCAGCGATTTTTGTAAACTATTTTTAGGGCAAGTAAATTTTGTTCGTCAGTGTGTATTGAGAGAAGATTTTAATATAATTCGATAGACAAATGTGCTGACGTCTCACCTGATGGTAAGGGGTAACTGTCGCCTATATATAGTACATGAATAGCACCACGGACGTTCCATCATCGTGTCACTTCCGTAGAATCCTTCTGCGTTCTCATTCCGGAGGACTAAGATAATGTTATAACTTTAAATTCTATAATTTACTGCTTTATTACCTTCAAATGAAATTCGTCTTTGCTGATTGGCGGCTGAAATGAATATGAAATAGAAGACCCACGCAGACCTACTTCAAAATCTACATCGGCGAAATAGCAAGGACCATAATTGACTTATTACCTTGGTGAATCATCGCGAAGACTGTTTGGATGCGGCGGAGATGATCCAGGTATGTGCTGAGGGGATGATGTGTGGGATGGTGACGCGGATGGTGGCGGAGTAGTGGTCGGTGACGTTGGCAGTTCATCATCGACGCCAGAGTTTTGGATGCGTTCCATCCATTGTACCACTTCGTCAGTAATGCCGCAGCCGCCTACGTGACCTGTATAACAATATCATCAGTTGTTAAAAAAATCTGAGGACAAACATTAGCAGTACTAATTAAAAACACACTGCCCTTGGCTACTTCCTTACTTAATACACAATGGGTCTACCTTTTTATAGTTTACTAGCTGTTACCCGCGACTTCTGCTATAGACCACATCGATCCTCGTAATACATTTTATGTTTATTTATATATTCACGTGAAATTTCAGTAGAATTCGTTCGGATGTTTACTTGTTAATAAAGAACAAACAGGCAGACAGGCAATCATTCGCATTTATAACATTAGTAGTGTATAAAATTGTATTTTTATTTACCATCTTAATACAAATAATAATTATGCAAAATGAATTGTAAATTTAAAAATTTAGAGTACTTCATTTTTATTTGGAATAACCAATATAAAACTTTTATACTATAGATACACGGATCTAACAGTACGTAGGTATAAGAAGCTCAGGTATGAAACACAACTATTTTGTTAGTTTAATATGACTGGATTTTTATCATATTCTGACCTGAAAGATACCTTAACATAAAATCAGAGACAAAACATATAGTACAATCTGAAATACTCAGACACCAGATAATTCCAGACGGTTCGTGCAAGAATTGAATCCGGGAGGGAAACTCATTTACGTAAAGAGACGTGTCTACCATTATGTTCCACAAAGTTGTTAACTCACAAAGTTAAAAGGCTAAAAACACCTACTGGTAATTGTTTTGAATTTGAAACAAATCTTTGAATGTGTTTTTACACAAATTTATATTTGTTACTGATATTATAATACGGATTAGTTTGCACTACAGAAATGTGTGATGGTACTTAATGATTTGTAATACAAAACTGCTTTAACATCTCGTATGTGTACATGAATTTGCAGGTCTATTATATATTATAGACTATTTAAATGACAATCTTAAACAAAACATCATCGACGGTGTCGGTCTGGTCTAGCTGTTTAGAATACGGCATTACTTCCGGTGGTAGCGAGTCTTCGCATGGTGCAAACATTTATATTTATGTTTAGGACTGTTTGTATCGGTCTGGGTGTTTTCCAGGTATATTATGTATGTATATATTTCCAAACAGAATATATTTGAGTATTCATATCTATTATCTAGTACCCATTGCACAAGCTCTGCTTAACTTGGAACTAGATGGTGCTTTCTGTATTGTCCAGGGTTTTAATAACGACGATAATCTCTATGATGCCAATAATAGTAGGTCGTGTATAAAATTATTCACAAAATTAATTACTCTATACGTTTGGGGAGTTTTTCTCCGGTTTCTATAACGTGTATGTTATACCTACTTACTCATATGTTACAACATATACTGTATATGTAACATATAACTGTGAAAATTTTATCATAATTCCTACAGTCATTATTCAGGAAACATTAACACATAAACAAATATATAGTTTTTGCCTCGTCATGTTTTTACGATTTTATTATATGTATATAATAATCATTGGCGTATGCTAATGATATCTAGTTGAATTGCTGTTTTGTTTCAGAAAGTTATAAAGATTTATAGGTTGTATATCAATAAATCTTCAATCTTCATAACTTATAAATTTAATTAGCCTTAAGATAGACGTAATTACGAGCCTCAAGCAGAATTCAATTACTAATCTAATTTATGGTTTTTATTATCTGCTTCTTTAACAAATGTAATGTAATCTACTTTCAGGTAATAGTTGCTTATGATCCCAATGGTCCAACTTTTGTCAAAAGCAACAAGCGTCATTCAGTTTAAATTATTCTATAGCAGCCATACAATACCAAATAACGTCGTACGTGATGCGAATACAATGAGAAGATTTAGCGAGACGATATGGTACTTATTCACGTACAAAGAAATTAGTATGTTTTTAGAAGAGGGATAAGTTAAGACAATGATATGGGATCATGACTGTTATCCCAGAAGGCGTAGACAGAGACATTTTTAATTGTTCAAATCATGGTGAATCCAACACATCAGGGGCTGAGCTCAGCGCCGTGTCTCGAATTAATTTTTAGTTAGATCACTGGTACCTTCAGACGAGAGTCGGTCAGAAATATAAATTGTAATACACAAAGTTTCTTTCTGCCCGGATTTGAACTGATACTGAGTGTAGGTCGTGGTAGTTAACTACTAGGCGTCGATGAATTAAGAGTTTCATCAATATACCCACTTGCTCTTCACAAACTAAAGGTTAAAATATTCATGATGAAATACAAGATGTTTTAAATTATTCATGACGAATTCGAAGTTTTCGAGTTGGGAGCAAGAAAAATAAAGGAAGGGAACCTTTCCGTCGCACTCGTGTCGGAATTAATAGAGGTGTGAAGTGATTGTACTTTACTTTAGTAGCTACACATTTGTCTTGTAATATGTAACGTAACCGAAATATTATTACATTAGATATTCTATTATACCCATACAATTATAAGATTTGTTATTCAAGAACACGACGGTTTCATTAATATCCACAAAATATTGAAATGTAAATTTAGTTTCGTCTCTAATTCCATTTGTACATGATAAAAACGTCAAGCTCTATGGTAATATTAACTGTATTAGTAATATACAGAATATTAGCTATTTTGTTGAGGATTTCAAAGTAGTAGTTTAATAATGTGTACGTTTTGCAAGAATTATATTTTTCATCAAACTCAGAAAAAAAGGTTCAACAGTATCTATTCCATGACAGGTACAACGAAAAATGCATTTTAGGTGTACACATTACGGCAAAGGGAGTTTTACTACTACATAACTATATCCATATTATTAATAAGGGCTAGACGTATCCAACATCACCTAAATTCTCGGTAGCACCAGTACAGTCGGTTCAGTTCATGTAAAATAAATTGTCAAATACAAAAATATCACACTGTAAATTAAGACTATATAATAAAAAAAAAACGAACTGCCAACATGGGGCTTGGCTTAAATTATGAAAAAAATGCTGAACAGTGTGGATTTTTTGTGTTGTGTAGACTGTAGTAGAGCACATTGGCGTTTTACATCCGGCGTGTTGCATTTTAACGAAGCTCTGCCGCTAGAGTTGTGTGCGAGACCGTCGACTCGACCGCCAGATAACGGAAATTACCGGCTGCCGTAAGCAAGTATATTATACATTTATCTATGGATTAACTAAGATTAATGGTTACTTCGTAGATAAAAAATAAAAGTATAATTACAATATACTAATAAAAGTATAATTAAAATAATTATAAAAATATGTACCAGTACGTATATGATATAAGGTTTTTTTAATTGATGAATATTGAATAGTGCTGCTTGTGCCAACGGCATAGTATGATAGTATGAGCATGAAGTTAGATTAGGTAGTCAATCGAGAAAAATTCACCAGAAATTAACCGCGATGTTCCTCAGGGGGCTTGACTGAAGGTAGAAATGATAGGCTACATTGTAGCCCTATACCTAACAATCCCATCCCTCTTTCTGGCATATATGTGTTAATGCGTATAAATTTTTATATTTATTTAATTTATATACCTATCACTGAAGCAGTTCCAATCGAGAAGACAAATTGGACAGCCAGCCTGGACAACTCTTATAAATTTAAATTAGATTTCTTACAAAATACTACAAGGTATGTAATTGATATTCGTTTTGAATTAATAAACGAGAGGTTGTTCGTACGTAAGGAAGACAGGAAGTTTTAACAAGGGCCAGATGAAATATGGCTTTAATTATTAAGTTATGCGCGCCCTAAAAACATTCCGCATAGTTCGCCTCGAAAACATTCACTGGATGAATGAACATAATATTATAATGAAGCATTACCCCCCTAAATATTACGGATTGCTTTGTTGTAATGAATGAAAATCTTTGTACTACAGGCTCGAAATCGTTTATTATTTTTACGTGAAAGTGAGATTGTTTGTTTGATAGGTTGTTTCTCTTGGCTTGGGATGTTTTGAAGTTTTGATGATTATAAATTGTTTTAATATATTATTTTATTTCTTTATATTATAATTATAATACAAAAGGATAAAAAATATTGGGAAATAGCATACATACATAATATGATAATGATAATGATATTTGAAAGAATCACTATTTTCACTATAATATACATAACATTTTTATTGAAACTAAACTATAAGCAAGTGAGATACATTATTAATTACTTTACTAATATGTACTATCTATCTATTAAACATTACAGAAAAACCCAAGTATACGGAAAAAAGTAAGAACTTTAATGGGTTTAATTTATAGAATACTAATGGATAGGTATGGTAATCCAGTCTACGATTCAATCGATACAGCTTCTTCAAACATTTCCATACTTTGTCACTTTACTGAACTACGGATAATATTTATACACATATATACTAGCTGCGACTTCGACTGATTTGCTTTTAGATAAACGATATGCTTGTCCTTACGATACAATCGATTTTTATGTAAAATTTTATTGATTTATGATCCATTCTGTTGTTTAGGCATTAAAAGATATCAATCTTTACACACAGATATACAGACATATTTCTGGCAATTATAATATTGATATGCATAGATTTCATTAGGTAATTACTATTATATTTCAAAGCAAACATATGTAATAAAAAAAAATTATAGGGATCGCCTCAGTCGAACGGAAGTTAAACAAACAACATGCTGTACACTTTTCAGCAAGTTAAAAGTATTTATAACTGGCACGCTCGCGTTAATCGATTGATGAATACAGAGGAAGAGAATGAAGTGTATTTGAGAGTATTTGATTTTCCATTGTCTTTGGTTACCTCAATGAAAGACAGGTGAAACTTATATGTATGTATATTTCATCAATGAGCGAGACTTAACGACGTATAAAGCCTTCATTCCGGTAATGTGGTTGGTCGTATGGAGTATTCAAAGAGTTCATATTATATAAGGCAATAGCGAAATGTGTTGTTACCCAAAATTATCTTTACTTTCTAAATTTGTATTTAAGTTAATAGTTCCGTTTTTGTTATTATTTTATTTTTAGTTCC